CGAGGAGGAACCAGCCCTGGGCGTCTCTGTAGTGGGTCTGGAGGTACTGCACGGCGCCCACCCCGTAGTCGTGCACCAAGTCCATCCCTGCGTCCGTGGCTGCAGCCTCTGTGGCGCTGTGGGTGAGCAGCAGTGCGCTGTTGGGAACTGTTGTGCCTGCCGCCCCTCCTCTGGTTTTATACCACCGTGCCCATAGCCACTCCGCATGCTCGCGGGCTGCTCTTTGGACCCGCAGGTATACGTATGAGAAAACATCTTGTGCCAAATAGTTAATGAAGACGAGTTTCGTCACGGCAGCAAGTCACACAAACAAGTCCCGCGGGCAGTGAAAAAACACCCCGCTGTAAACCGGCCCACACTTGACTTAACCCTCAGACAGCTGTGGCCCTGACTCAACCTGCGTGTTTGTGTATCTCCACCTAGTTAAGCAGTGACCTTGACACTGCTTTTTTGGACCCTGGCTGCTCGATAAACCCCTTAGCCACCCAACGTCTAGTATCACAATTATTACAACTGTGGTTCATTCATGAAGAGCCTATAAGCGCCATCTGTGACCCATAATCTGAAGTGTTATACACAGTTACATTTACTGTTCTTGCTAGAAACGCTTTTTTTAAAACAACCCTTACTAATACACCTGCCAGTGCTATGTTCCAATCTTGCATGTCAGGTATATTTGAAGTGGGAAGTCTAGTTTTAAAATGCAGCGAGACAGTGTTTCTCAGTCCCTCAGTAGTCGTTACAGATCTCGGACAGAGTTTCCTAAAAGTCATCTGGTATCAGGCGCTGTGGTTTTCAGTGCATCAAGGGAACCCTGATGATGAGATTGGGGGGCAGAGAGATATTGAAATCCTAGGTTCATGTTTTGCCCAGTTGTAGCTTATATATTGCCATTAATTGCTGAAGTACATGAACATGTTTTCATGGTCTTAGATCAGCAGCAGTGACATCTTTGAGGTCCAAATAACTTTTTCATTTGCAATGTTTTGAAATAGATTTAAAGGTATTTTTACCAACAAAGTCTTTAATACCTATGCCGAAGGTGCATATTTATCGAGTTCTAGGCGAGTTGTACCCCATTCAGTAAAATAGTTTTGTGCATGCCACCAACCTTAGCAAACCTACTGTATACTTCCATATTTAGCCTCCTATTCACTCCAATTTAGCACAAGTGGTTACAAAAATCAACTGATAATATGTCTCTTTATTCCCAGTGAGGCAGGGTGACTGTTTCTGAAATGATTGTGTCTGGTATGTGCCTTTCATCTTTGTCAGAAATACCTCTTTTTTTCCCCTGAGGTATTTCTGAATCAATATTCTTGTCCTGACCTTTAAAAATTAACTTCCTCCTCATGAAACTGCAGATGGGCCTTAGTCATTTTCTAATGCGTTGCACTTTCATGCTGTAGCAGGCTGCTCCGATAACGTTGACTGGTGATGTTTATGTGCGCAGTAGCTCTCCAGCAGTGCTTCACAAGCTGTAGACTGCAGGGTGCCCTTTTGACTCTTCCCTCCTGTTTATTTTTGAAGAAACAGGCCATTTCAGCCAATACGACTGAGACGGAAATGAAGGGATGGGGTCAGCAAAGTCTTTTCTGAGCCACACCGTGAGATAAATGAAGAAGGACTTCCTATTGACTTCAATTGTTTTTATTAGTATCACAAAAGATGACAACCTCGGCACTCACTAAACATCACCATCACTTAAATGTCTGGCATTGTGCAAAGAAGCCCATAATGAGATTTGAAGAGTTTTGGAGCAAGCTGGAGTCATCTGTAAGAACTGGGTACTTAAGATGAACGTGGGTGGTAAATTGCAAAGCCAAAAATGATGTTCTCCAGCTGACAGTAGATGCTGTTATTTTGCATTTTTTTCCTTCTTCAAAAGTGGTGAATGATTAAGGAAAGGCCTGTCTGAAGCTTTTGGTAACGGCTACTGTTTGAGGCATATGTGAGGAGCCTCTGGTGTTAAAACAGATTGATTAATCATTGGCAAGCAGTAGTTTTTCTCTGACAGACAGGTGCCGATAATATGCTTGTGCAAGAGTGACTAACTGGGCCAGTAGTAATTCAGTTTATATAGACTCCCTAGCTGTTGACAGTGACTTGGAGAAGTCTCTGAGGTTTCTTATTTTTTGTGCTGGAATGGTTAGTAAATTATGGGGGTGCGGAGCCTATCCAAGCAGGCAATGGGCACAAGACAGGGTAGACCCTGGAATGGACACCAGTGCTTCACGTGGCAGACACACAGACACAAACACACACTCCAGGGACACTTTTTCCAGGAGCCAGTTAACTTGCCAGCATGTTTTTGGACTATGGCACAGGGCATACACACTGCACACAGGACATGCCCCAGAATCGCGAATTGAACCCAGGGCCCCAGCGCTGTGAGGCAGGGGTGCTAAAGCCTGCGGCGCTGGAATATGAACAGTCTGAACAAAGCTTGAGAAAATACACTGCAGAGAAGAAGGAGGCAGAAAACAAAAATGTGGTTTTCGCTTAACTAAGGTTTTTTCAGAATCAGGTGAAATCATCTCCTTCTTCCCAACTCGGAGCAGAACAATCCGCTTTGACAAATGGCACCATCACAATCTCTTCTGGAACTGCACTCTGTGCCATTGCTCTATCGTGCACTTATATCTGGTTGTGTAGTGCACTCACACTGTTGTGTAGTATTTTGTCATGTGCTGTTGTGTACCACTTTCTAATGCACTGTTGTGTAGCATTTCCCCATGTGCCCTTGTTTACATCTCTCTAATGCACTCTTGTGTAGCATTCCCTCATGTGCTGTTCTTGAACGAACTCTTATGTACTCCTATGTAGATGTTGTTCAATGTGGACACTGCTCCCTGCTTCACTACAATGCCATTCTGTGCTTTTTGCTGTCAAGGGCACAGTGTCGCTCATTCCTCACGTCACATTTTGCAACTCTTAGCTCTCTGGAAAAAAACGCAGAGAGCATTGTGATGCTCGCAGAATTCACAGCAGTTTAGCCTGACCACGAAAACAACCTGTTCTCCTGATCGTTGCTTAACCCTGTGTGCGTGCATACATTTGTTTGAAAAACACAGATTTGCCACCCAGCTCTGATCTTGACAAACAGATCACGTGACGTTCTCGGTTAGCCAATCAGCACGGCTCGTGCCAGGGGGGAAAACAGAATCGGCGAGGTCCCCTTGGAAGACCGGCCACTGACACTGTTTATCAGACAAGCTTGCACCAGCGGCCCAGGGGGTTTAAAGGTTAAGGGACTTGCCCTAGATTCTGGTGAAAGCAAACAAATAAGTTGTCCTCATATAAATTCTGGGGCGAAGAGTGGAGAGGGGCTGTGAGTGCAGATCGCACTGCCCCAGCGCAGACGGACAGCATGGACCTGCTACACAGCGCCGGGGTGAACCTGACGGCCCATCTGCAGGCCCACTACAGAGGCTACGAGGGCTTGTTCAACCTGGCGTCCTCTGTGGCAGACCTGCACACACCTTTCTTCGTCTTCTTCCCCGTCTGGTTCCACCTGCGCAGGGAGGCGGGCATCAAGCTGATCTGGGTGGCCGTGATCGGGGACTGGCTCAACCTGGTGCTGAAGTGGTGAGCCAGCTTTCTCCAGATGGCCTGTGCCATCTTCTTTCCTCCTTGTGGTGCCAGGGCTGTCACTGGTAACCCTGCTTAGTCAGCGTGAGAGTCCTTGCTAAGCCTTAGAGTAGAAATGATCTGAACAATATTTTTTTTTTCCGGCACACCCTCGTCTTAAGCGCTCGAAAGCACTGCTGGGTCTCTGATCCGACCTCACGGGAACCCTGGAATAAATCCCAGGGGTTAGCACCCTGTTCTCAAGGCTGTGGGAGTGGATTCATTTTTTCATTTAGAGCTCAGTCCCCCCAAAACTGTCATGAGTGCCGCACTTAGGAAATCGGTTGTTCAGAAACAGACAGGAAATGGTCCCCACTTTTTCGTGGGGAAAAACCGCTAATTAAATGCAGCAAATTAAAGGAGAGATGTATGATTTTCAAGTGTTATGGCACATTTGATTTTCCTGTGCACAAAAGGGTAGCTCATAGATTCAGGCGCACAGATTGTCTTTACTGTATGCAAAAAGCTGAAAAAACAAGATCTCAGAGAAGCAACTGGCAGGAAGACGGATTGTACAAAAGTTTTGTTTTCTTTTTCTGGGCTAAGTGTGGAACAGTTCCCTTATTTATTAACATAGACTATGGGAATATCTAGATAGGCCACCAAAACCGCAGTGTGAACGGACATTCTTGAAGTTTCCGCTTCTTTTTATCCTTCTTTCCCCTGGGTTTAGCTTTCTTTTAGTCTGTAGGGGTTCTGTAGATCGTGAAGTCAGGACTCCAGAGCTGTAAGCAAAACCCAGGTGGGTAAAATTTGGGTGTCACGTATTAAACATGCGCACGCATTTATTTTAGGAAATGAGGGAAAGTTTGAATTTTATATTGGCTTTAGTGGGAGAACCTCATGCTCACTCAAGCAGAGATGAACTTGGATAAAATCAGATTCATTGGGTCCTGCTATTTTTGTGCTCTCTTCTCTTTCACAGGGTTCTTTTTGGTGAGAGGCCCTACTGGTGGGTTCACGAGACCCAGTTCTATGGTTCTGAACCGGCTCCTGTGCTAAGACAGTTCCCCATCACTTGTGAAACCGGGCCAGGTACTGAATGGACTCCTCTGTTGGTATTCCTAGTGCACATGGTTACCTATCAGACAGTGGATATGCTGCATTCACATATATTTGTAAAAGAAGTTCTGTGCACAGTGTGGATGAAATAAGGTGTTAATCTGGTAGATAAGAATATGATTCCATCATGGTCATGTCTGTTGATGTAAACTGCAAATCTGAGCATTTGCCATGAAATCCAGAAGAAATCTCTTTTGGTCTGTTTTGTGGAAAAATCCTGCCCAAGCAGCATTGAAAAGGACCTGGGGCTGGGGCCTGTGGCCCTTGTGGGTTGACCCTGTGCTTGGTGTGTTCACAGGAAGCCCCTCGGGGCATGCGATGGGCTCAGCGGGGGTGTGGTATGTGATGGTGATGGCCGTCCTCTCCGTTGCTTCTGAGAGAGATCACTCTGCTCTCTTCAACAGGTGAGCTTGATACGTGTGTCATCAGTGCCGAGACCAACAGCTCCCATCTGTGCTGTGGATTTTCAGCGATACTAGATTAATATCTCCCCAGCTCCGCAATGAAGCTCTTATGAAATGATACCTTCATCAATGTACCATTTTGCACATCCGTTGAGTCTTTACCGTGATTGTATTACTGTGCCCCTGTGGCACTCGCATGCTTTCACTATGCTGTAGTATATTTGAACGTGTGGACACCATGGTACACCATGATAAAATATTTATGAAGTCCTCAGCAAAACTGAAAGCAGCAGGCAGCAGGCAACCCTGACACAAAGGGTTGTGGGAGCAGGGAACGAGCTACACAGTTCTGCTATTGAAGCCGATGCCCTGGTTTTCAAGAAGCAGGTGGATGAGATCTTTGGATCACTTAACTGCTTACTGCCGAAATGAGCAAGAAGGGAAGAATGGCCTCCTCTCGTTTGAACGGTTCTTAAATTAGCATAGCAGCCCAAGGGTGAAGGAGTAAGACTCAACCCCTCATCTCCGGGACTCTCTGTCCCTCTCTTCCCCGGCTCAGGGCTCTGCGGGTGGCGCTGTGGACGGCGCTGTGTGCCGTCGAGCTCATCGTCTGCATGTCCAGGGTCTATGTGGCTGCCCACTTCCCCCACCAGGTCGTCACAGGGGTCATTTCAGGTCAGTGACCGCAGGAGAGGCCCTGGCGACGTGCCCGGTGCTGTTCTGGTCGTTGCCGCTGACTGGCTCCGCATGCTTTTCTTGTGCCTCCAACAACGTCAGTGTGACGTGGAAAGTAGAGCTCAGTTACTGCGAAACCTGAATCAGTCGCAGCCAAGTGCTTGGGTGATGAAATGTTTAGGAAAACATTACAGTTTTCACATTTGTGCATCTTTTCACGAGAGTATGGTCCAAGGTGGGACTAGGACACTGTGCAAGCTGTTTGCCATTCATTACTGTGTATTAAGGCCTGGTTTGTCTGTCAATGGCAGGTATGATTGTGGCCGAGGCCTTCAGCAGGGTGCAGTGGATCTACAGCGCCAGTCTGAAGAGGTACCTCCTCACCACCCTCTTCCTGCTGGTCTTCGCCCTGGGCTTCTACCTGCTCCTGCGGGTGCTGGGGGTGGACCTGCTCTGGACGCTGGAGAAAGCCAAGCGGTGGTGCGTCCGAGCCGAGTGGGTGCACATGGACACCACACCCTTCGCCAGCCTGCTGCGCAACCTGGGCACCCTGTTCGGCCTGGGGCTGGGCCTGCACTCTCCTCTCTCCAGTGGGAGCCACTCAGGGAAACGAGGCCACAGCGCCCCCTTCAGGCTGGGCTGCATCACTGCCTCGCTGCTGCTACTGCAGCTGCTGGACCTGGTCCACTTCTCCTCGGAGAGGGAGCTGCTATTTTACCTGCTGTCCTTCTGCAAGAGCGCTGCCGTGCCTCTCATCACAGTGGCACTTGCCCCCTGTGTCATCTCCAGACTCTGCCCCAGGCAGGGCAAGAGGCAGAAGGACTGGTGACTTCAGACCTGCAACACACTCGCCCAACCAAATCTGGGCCATTACTCCTCAAGATCCTTCTCTCCATTTCAGATCGCTTGTTGATAGCAATGTGCTCTGTGCATTTCTAGTGCATCCCCTGAAAGCAAATCGTTCTAGCACTCTTAATCTGATATGTTGTTGCTCTCTGGGAGCAAGAGAGAACCTTCATTGTGATCTCTGAGTGTCCTGCTTTCCCTCTGGTGAGGAAGTACAGTAATAAAGACCAGGCAGAGATGGTCATGCTGTAATTGTCCAGGAGATGCCTTCGGATGAACATTTGTAAATAGTTAGGAGCCTAGATGATCAAAGATTAGAATGTAAAATATTAAACTGCTGAAGTACAGTATGTGAATTAAAATGAAGTAGAAGAAATCTTAAAGTTCTTTTTTTTTTCAGAAACAAGTACACATCACTGTTTTCCCAGGTGCTGTGGATCATGTGCAGTGCCAGTCACCATTGTGCCGATGAATGGAAACAGCGTTTGTCTAGCTTGGTGGTGTACTTTGTTTATGTGTATTTTGAGCCAGATCAGTCTGGGAAGACCATTTTTCAGGACATTACATAAATCGTATACTTAGAATTGTTTCTTTTTTTTGAGGAACATGTTTTGGAATTGTTCCAGATTCCACAGTTCATGTTACTAGATTCGTGTTGGTGAATTATAGAGGGATCAACTATTTGTATCTTTAGTGTTGGTTAACGCATCATTTTATTGATTCAAACCTGAGATAACACAAAATGCTACCAAGTAAACCAGCCACTCTGAAAGCGTGTAGCTCTGTAATACTTGATGACCTCTAATCTCTGTGAGGAGTAGGATTGCTCCATGAATTGAAAGGTGGCATGTTGATTTGAGCAACTGCATTTTCCTGATGCTTGCAAACAACAGGGTAAAGGTTCATCTGCAGGCACTGAACTTTTACTCCCTCCCAATGTGTTAAAACAATCAGCTGTTATGTAATCAGAGCAGATCATGATGGTTTCTCCCGTGATCACTGTACATTTCTGTCAGGGGGCTTGTGAATTGAGCCTTTGAGTGACAAGCCATTTAATCTGGTAAAACAGTTGGAATATACCACTGCGCGGTGTGTCCTGGAATCAGAGAAAATCACAGGTAGGTGTGGTAGTCCAAGGTACTAAAGCATAATTCAGTAAATGTGCAAAGTAAAACCAATGGCAAAACACATGTACAGCATTTCACCGTTGTACAGTTCAGCTACAGCCTGGAGCTCCTTTACTTCAGATTTGTGGTTTTCAGGTCCTGGTAAAATGAATCCCTTTAACATAAAAATGAGGTCCCTTTTTAATAGAGTCCATCAAATGTCAATAAAACACTGTCTCGTTTCGTCTTGGCATAAGTGCATGTACTGTGTTTTTTTAAAGAGTAGATCAGTAAGACAGGCTTCCATAATTGTATCATATTCTTTTCCTAGTTTATTATCTGAAACGTTAACATGACACTCGGTGATGCAGGTATATGAGCAGCTATGCCTCTTCATAATGTGTCTCTTCATCTGCGGTGGAAGGTTTGCTTTTAACACTTTGCCTTACTAATGGGGTGACTTCTGGCCAGCACTGTAATGTGTGGCAGCTTTGTGTTTTGTGCTCAGAACAAATATCCTCTGTGGAATAAATTCAGAAGAGTCAGAACTTTTCTGTTACATAATTTAAAGGGGGTCAACCTGCTTTGTTTTAGCTTCACTGTATAATAGCAATAATAAACCGTGCCACACAATAGTAAATACTCCTTATTGTTTTCTTTACTCCATTAAGGTACCTCATGGCATTCTTATACTTCAAGTTAGGCCAATACAGCAAAGGCATGTGAAAACAACATGGAACTAAGCACTGCTAATGTGAAACCATTGTAACAGTGTAAAATTCTTATTTTACATTTTGCATGGTCAGGGCCTGATTTTGGCGCTCATAGGTCCTCGGCACTTTCACTCCGAATTGTGCATAAAGAGGGGTAAACGCCAGTTGAATTACGTCGACTGACATGATGCAATTTAAATTTATTCTAATGCTAAACCACATGATTGATGGAGTGAGTTGGGCGACCATCACTTCGATACTTCTAATTTCTAGAACAGCCGCTAGACAGTGTATGATTCTTGATTTGGAGCACCTAGAGCTGATCGCAAGTTGTTTCAGCTCGTTTTCCGTTACTCACTAGTGTTTCCCTCCTTCGTAGGCCCTAAAAATGTTGTAGGCCTGACAGTGCCTCATGGGAAATCCGGTACTGTGCATGGTAACAACATCTACTTATAGTGAGATCATAGCTCTCAGTTCACTCTCAGGGTAGTACATTGTGAGCCTTGTTTATAAAACAGAACACTGAAGAAGTGCAGAACAACTGCAGAAAAGACCCGAGCAGCTCAGTCACAAAGCCTGCATGCCTGTGTACAGGGCAGATGAATGAGTTCTACTTGCTTTGTTTCACAGCTGGCGTGAGAAGTCACTGTGCTGGCACTGTTCATGTCTCTGCCCTATTGAAATGTGCACTTCTCTGAAACGGTGCAATCACCAACTGTTCAACAGTCTAACCAGGTAAGAGTTTATTGTGGCATAGAATGATAAGAACAGTAACACATAGTCCGGCGCAGAGAAACTATAGGAAAAGCATGGTGGACTTATGCAAAATCTGTACTAGCAATGTAAATGGAGGGTGCAAATGCATGATAAACTCATGGATACATTTTTTTTAAATATTCCTGATTCATATGGCAAGCATACAAATATCAAATATGTGATCATTTTGGGTTTGTGCCTGTTCCATTTTGTTTTTATGTTGCCTTCATTATGTGAATGTCAAAACCACATTTAACTAGAGTTTCTGTCTATATTCTTATAAAGGTCTTACCCCCTGTAACTTCTGGGAGAACAGATTCTCCATTAGCTGAATCAGCTCATCCCAGCACAGTGACCCCCTCGTGCACCCAAGAGTGCACTAAGAGTGGACCTTAGGGTGGAGATGCCTCAAAACAAAGATAACAGCCCTCCCAAGGTCTTGGGAAGAGTCGAGGACCCGACAGCAGAAACATGCAGAGGTCACACACACAAACAGTTCATGGACAGACTTGTTTTCTTGCATCTGACTTGTCCAGCAACTGTTATCTTTGCGAGCTGAAATTTCTGTTTACTCTCTGCATGCTTTCATTTTTTTTTTCGTGACTTTTTCGTGATTTTTGGCTGAAGAACGTAAAAGAAGCTAACTCCGACACGTGGTAATATTTGGCCCTGATTTCCTTTTGAAATCTGAGAGGGAGAAACAATAAATATTTTAACATCCATGGAGCCTAATGATTTTCTGGAGATTCAGTTTAAACTGGTCCCATGTGTCCCTCTGCTTTTTAAATCTGACATCTTCAATATGTGGTGCTTAAGTGTATAGTGTTAAGATGCTGTATGGTGTATGTACAGTATATATGTTAGGACAAGCACATTTGGACATTAAGCATCTTAAAGAGAATTTCAGAATTTCTTTCCTTGTCTTGGCAAGCAATTGTCTTTCAGGTTTTATTTTTGGGTGCAAAATAGAATTGGCGTTATGTGCTGCTCAAACCCACATCAGCTCGCCTGCCGTTTCACCACCACGCTTGTGAGCGCTTGAGTATGTGTGTGAGAGAGGAAGTGGACAAGGGGGGAGGTTGTATTGTTTCCCTGTGTTGGAGCTTTAGGGCTGGTATTGAGGAGCACAAAGCTACAAATACTTGTACTGCGACAGAAGCAAATAACAGACAAACTGTTGGGAGATTGTGTTATCTAGTTGGGGGGACGAGGGACTGAAATGCTCTGAAAATTTGGCAGCAATCCAGATGTTTTTTTTTCTTTTTTGTGTAATTCTTTACTTTTTTTGTTTTTCAGTATGCTCAAGGCCAATACTGATTAATTCCTTTACAGGGTACACCTGTTACACATTAACCTGCCTGTTTGTCTGTTGTTGTGTCTCTGGCGTTCTCTGATCCCCGACAAGGTGGTGGGAGGGGCTGGGGGGGCTTGGAGTGGGGAACATGCTGTCCAGCGGAGAGCACAGCTCCTGTCAGAACACCACAAGCTGCAGGCTGGCTGGAGAGACTGCCAGCAGCCTGGGTGGGATGTGCTGTGGTGCAAACGCTGTGCAGGCCCTTAGTGGGAAAGGTTTCCCATACAAGGAAAAACCTTCGTTTAAGGCATGTTAAAACACAGGAATGACATACAGTGGTTCTTGCGCCACATTGCTTTGTGGTGGAACACAGTACTGAATCAGTGCAGATTGTGTCAGTAAGAGACAGTTCAGTCACAGAGACTCCAAACATGTGTACACAGTAGTTTGATCAATTGTGCTAATTTGGCCTCACTCTTTGTTCAAGGTAAGTAGTCTACGGTCATTGGCTTAGACAAGACTGGTTATATTGAATGTATTGTGTAAAATGGAGTTAGGCTGCACAAAAGCGCCCAATCCCCTGTCCTACCCAATACTTAACACTAATTACGGAAATGAAAGTTCAGACTGAGTGTTCTCCCCCCTGAGCTGATTAATGTTTGATTATTAGAGATTTGAAAGGGCGCCAATGAAAAGACTCGGCTGAAAGGCATGATTTGGAGTGACTGTCTTCCACGGAGGTCTCCGCAATAAGCTAGAGCTCACTTCTTCCTGCTGGGGCCTCATATTGTAAACCACTGGGAAACAACTGGAATTCACATCAGGAGAGGAGCCTGCTTTCAAAACTCGGTGAGTATTCATGTTCTTCCAGCATCAGCTGTATGGAAAAATCATTTATTGCTCCTTATCTCCGTGTTGCAATTTCGTTTTTGAAGAAGGAGGGTTCTTTTTTTTTTGCGTTGAGACCAGACGCCTCTGAGAGTGATTGGTAAATGTGTTCGAGTGCAGAGTGATTGCAGGTTTTTACGGCAGCCTGGGCTGTTTCCGGCACTGAGCAGCAGAGTGCTCAGGACATGATCGCCGCGTGCTTGCCGACTGCCAGATAAAGAGGGCACAGCTTTCTGGTGACTTGATTAGCCGAGCTCAGGACTGCAAAGGAAATATTACGCAACCAAATCAGAAATACTCACCCTTTCGACATATAACCAGGGGCTGCCTCATGTCATTAGTTATAATAATTAATAATTCTTTACACTTATATAGCCCATTTTTAGACACTCCACTCAAAGTGCTTTACAGGCAAGCTCCTCTCCACCTCCACCAATGATGTGTAGCACCACCTGGATGATGTGCTCCAGTACTCTCCCCACACGTCAGCCCTCAGTGGGGAGGAGAACAGAGCGATGAAGCCAGTTCTTAACTGCGGATCCTAAGGCGAAGGGGATTATATAACAATTTCTGTAATAACCCGTGGGATTTGTCGTTGACTATTGTCAGTGATTGATCTATTCAAACCAGTATGAGTAAAAGTTACTTTCACAGTATACGGATGTGCACTGGTGGCTCCTAATGCTAGCCAGCTTGTCCTCGCAGCTGGTTTCTGATACAGGGCACCCTAGAGCAGCAACATTTAGTTCCTGCACACATTCCAGTGAGCTTCACAGCTGGAGGGCAAGCAAAAGCCATCTGGGTTGCCAAAGTAGATCACGTTGAGCTGATATAGCACTTTGCTCCACACTGAACTAGCTATATAAGCACCCTATATACTAACAGTACATCTATACCCCTGTGTGTAGATACCTTTATGTGTATCAATGCTTTCATCAGCTGCTTGGTGCGCAGTTTGATCTATTTTGCACATGAATAGAGAAAAGCCAGGCTAACAGCAGGATTCAGTCCTGGACCATGATGAGCTATCTGTGTGGAGTTTGTGTGGGTTTCCTCCATGTTCTGGTTTCCTTAATTGGTTTGTGGTAAAACTGGCTCTGGTGTGTGTGTCTGGCTCTGTGTGAGTCTTGTGCTGGACTGGTGACCCGTTCGGGGCATAACCGGCCTTCTACCTGTTCCTCCCCAAGACTCTGATTTGGAAGTGGTTAGAAAATGGATGGATAGAGAAAGTAATGGAACTTTAGAGCTACTTAAATGCTTTATTATTTATACATTCCCACATGGCACTTGTGATTAGCTGTTTTAGCAGTAGGTCTGAATGAACAGTTCCACCCGGAGTCCATGGGTTACACATGCAAACAGGACATGAAAAGTGCTCCATCATGGCTGAACTCTGGAAAGCACTGGAGAGCTGTCTGGAAGAGCACGCCACGGGACTTCATCAAGCAAGAACAGTCATGTCGACCGGAGCGTGGTTTATAGAACCAAGAGCCCATGAAATCACAAATCTTTCTGTGTCTTACGAATCACGAGTTCCAAGGGCTGGGACTGTTTATGGAGCAGTCAGTAAATATGTGCATGACTGAAGGCAGATGTTTGCTGGCAATGAAACGTCTTTTCATAGAAGCCTATTAACCGATCAGCATGTTTTTGGACCATGTGGGGAAACTAGAGCATCCGGAGGAAATCTGGGGAGAACATGCAAACTCCGCCCAGATAGCACCACATGAGCTGAACCCAGGATCCCAGTGTCACAAGACACCAATGCTAACCACTGTGCCACAATGCCACCAGATATTTCATATACATGTGATGGCTGCTTTGTATGTGAGATGTCTTCCAAGGCCACTGTTCTCTTAATACAGATAATTAGTTTGTCAGTGCTGAAGTGGGGGTGATCTCAAAGGCAGGTCTGAGGAGTCTGCTCACACTTCCTCACTCTTTCCTATGTGCTGTCACAGAGTTCATTCTCAAGCCAAGGTGTGAAAAACACACAAACGGCTATTCCAAAATTGGGTGGGTATAACCCAAGTAATTGGAGTTTTCTCGATTAAAAGAGTCATTATTCTGTTTCATAAATTCATAATGCATAATTCTGATGATGGCTTTAATACGTTCAGCAGGAAATATTTGTACTGTTTGTATAGGAGCTCTGCCAAAGCTATTTCTGTACATCACATCTCGGGAGAAAGCAGTCCCATATATTTTAAGTGAAGCAATACATCACTCTCTGGACATGCCATTCCCTGACATTGTGTACAAAGCCCAGAGCCCACTCATTCATAACACTTCACCATTCCATCCGCAACGCTTTTATAAACACTGCAAGAAAACAGAGTCTTCAACCCAGATGAGGGCCAATCAGGGAAAAACACCCTCTCACAAATCGCTCTAACTTTTATTGAAAAATAAAGAGATTTTTTTTCTAAAAGATCACAATATCCAGTGCATTTATAAATGAGATTGTCCTGCAAGACAAACTAATTCCTGGAAAATCTGTGAGCAGCAGACTACAATTGAATATATATATATTTAGAGAAAGGCTCAGTTGCTACACATATTTTAAAGCTCTTTAATAGAAGGTCCCAGATGCAGCCCAGTGTGCTTTTATAATTAGGTAAACTGATAGTGACTGACATTACACTACCAGCAGAACAGTAAGAACAAAGCTGCAGATGGCCATTAGAAACAGTCAGTTTAATATTTTATCTTCATCTAAATTAAAATCTGTTTATAAAACTAAATATCCTGCAGCATCCTGAGACTTTGTTACCTTGAGCTGTTGGCATATGTAACATCAGTCACCTTAGAGTTACTTATTGCCATGTTGTTTTTAAAGAAACTGTTTATTGGATAATAATGATTAGAATATGTTTTCAAATAAATGAAGGTTTTGTTTTCAAATAAAAAGTCATCGTGTTCAATAAACAAAGAAACGCTGTACTGTTCTATGTACCAAGATGTTTTTGCATGTTTAGAAGTCACATATAAACTCATCTTAAAACATCTACACAACTTAAAAGAGTAGGCATCTTTTAAATCCCACAGAATCAAAAATTTCCCACTCTGTTTCTTTGTATTCACTGTGGCAAGACCCAGCCTTTCCCAGTTCTGGTTACCCCAGCATCTGCTGGGTTTCAATCCAGCTGCACTTTTAATTGTTTAATTGAACCCCAAACTGATAAATTGGTTAATTAGATAACAAACATGGATATTTGTTTTTTGATTTGAAAAAGATGTTTCTGTTATTTCTGAGTTTTGTTAGGGAAAATAAAACCTCTGACCATTACAGAACTGAAAACAATCAAAAAATCATAATTGTAAATTTGGGGTTCAATTACAACAGTCAAGAGCTAAACAAAACCCACTGTCATAACCAGCGGCTGCATGGAAAGTGAGGTTTATGGTCTAGCGCCAGAGTGGTCACACTTTGTCCCAGACAGCCACAGTCCAGTACAGTTTATGGATCACTCTTCAATTTTCAGTTCCTTAACTCTTGGAACGATATTATTTTGACCACTGAAGTAGGTGATCAGTCTAGCAATTTACTGTAGATACTTTAATCTGAAATAAAACTTCCAATACACTATAGCTCTCGGGGCCTGCAGTTGGTCAGTCCTGACCTAAATGAATACGTTAATTTACTGAACTGAGCAAAACTCACACATGATCCCAACCTTTTACGTAAGGACCTGCTGGATTGTGGCTCCCCAGGGCCACGGTGGTCCAGCTCCAGTCCACTGTACCTAAGAGAGGTAACAAGGCTGTGAGGAGGCTGTTTGAGCCATCTTGAAGGAATGCTGAAAAACCCAGAGCATCTGGCCTGGAAACTCCACCTGGGTCAACAGCCCTCTGGGTTCAGTGATACAGAGTTACAGTCCTCGAGGGCCTCAGTCTACCACTGCTAATGGACCATTAAACCATCACCTCTCCAGGAGTGGAGGGAAAATGATTGATTTGGTTAAGGGAACAGTCAGCTCAGTCTAGGTTAAGTCAAAAAGCAGCCACTACCTGGGCCAGACTATTGAGCGAGTGGCCTCACATTGACCTTACGTTGCTCACCGCTCACAGTCAACACTGCCCCCTCTCAAGCCCCACAACCCTTCTGGTTTTGCAGTATAGACCAGTGGTTCTCAAACTGCGGTACGCGGAGCGCCCCCAGGTGGTACGCCAGATGACCCTGGAAATTTGTGGTGTGCGCTGATGAATTGGGAATTATATTGATATTGAATAATTAAAAATGATACATTTTTCATCTGTACTTTACTTTAGTCGGTTTCAGAAATCTTGAGACAGGTTTTTAAAATTTCCTATTTTAATCTTGGATTGGGCTGCGCTGACCTTCAGTTTGGCATGTTTCACTCCTCGAATTTCATGACCCCCTCGAAGCCATTATAGGTGAAGGTGGGGAGACTTGGGGCGCAGACTTCCTTGGCCAGACAGGCGAACCTGTTGTTCGTGCAGCTGTCTGCTGGCTCGGAGGGGTGGATGTACACAGAGTCTGGGGAGTTCATTGAGGGATCCTCATCAAAGTAGTTGTGGGGCCTCAGAATCACTCCGCCGCCGTTGCCCACGGAAACGGTGTTGGGGATGTCTTCAGCATGAGGGATGTGGAGGAACCCAGTGGTTACCCAGGCAACCAGGTCCTTAAAGGATAAAACAAAAGCTGTTACACAATCCTTGTTCTACATTCAAAGCCTACCATTTCCCTGCATCGGAAAGAGAATATCAGGGATTCAAAACCCTAGATGCTCCAGGGATGTTTATTTATCACTCAAAAAAACTTCAATTAATCTGCTTTTTAATCAATTTTCAATTTTCTGGAACACATTTTTGCGGTTTTGTAAAGTTGGAGATTTCAGGATGCCAGCTACAACACAAGTGAATGTACTGATATTTTTTAATTCAAGGTGATCAGTCGTCATCTCTCTCTCGTTCTTCCTAATTTAGTAACACCAGTTCGTCTTTCTTGCCCGCGGGACCTGCAAAGTGTGCATGCTCAGGGTCTTAGGGGCCTGTCTGGGGTCAAGGGTCAGAGGTCAGTTGTGTCAGGTGAACCACCATTCCTCTGGCCGGCTGTACCTGGCCTGCTCCCAGCACCTCATGGCCAGCTGTGCACTGCTGCTGAGATTGTAGCCACAGGTGCAGCCTGCCGTTAGCCCAGATACTTTCACTGGGTGCAGAAAACCTACACTAGCATGTCAGCACACACCTCACTTTCAATGTTTTCGTTGTCTTCGATAAATTGACTGAAGTCGACCGCTGGGGACCAGATGTTGTTTTGGTTATACAGACTGCTACTGGTCTGTTCCTCATCTTTGTACTTGGTGATTGCCACTTTGTACCTGGATGCCATTAAAACAAAAGGAAAATATATTTATTCCAAGTTGGAAAAGAAAGACGCCACCCGTCTCCCCACCCTGACACCACTGCTGTTTTCAAGTTGCAGAATCATGCTTTTGAATTATTTCAAAGTCAGACAATCACTGACGAAAGTTACTCAGACGTGCCTCTTGTGACCTTGTGCTGCAGTACAGCTGAACTTCAATAAAAACTTTTTCATTGTGCTGTGGCAGCCGGTAGCCAGTAGATGGCATTGTATATCAGTAGCTAGCATGTTCACAGTATTTTAAGGATGGGTTACCGGACTTTGCCCCCAAAACACCTGTCCAAATTTCCATTCCATCTCCTATATATAAAACCCATCCTGATTCACAAAAGAGAATCACAAAAAATGTTTAGACATAATTGAGATAGTTGTTAAAAGGGAAGGAGCTTCAATATTAATAATTAATCCTTGCTTTTAAGAATTGTTCCTTTAAAATTAAGACATTAAATTATACGAGTAAAAATAATGTATTTTAAATACCAGGGAGCTTAGTATATTGTGGTGAACCAGATAGAGCTCACATTGCAGGAAGGCAGTAAATATGTGTTTGTGTGAATGTTCTGTTTAATGTAGTTAAACGTTCTGTTTCACATGCCCGGTACCGAGTGTGTATTGTTGAGTTAGTGTGTACGTCCGCTTCCGGTTGAAAGGCTCGGAGAGAAGAAAATTAGATGCTTGTCTAATTAACAAATCTAACCCCAGAATTCCCACACCTGCCAGAATCTGAATGTCCTACTGGAAAGAAACTCAATAGAGCTGCACCCCAGTAGGTGATTATCTTGTCCCAGCCCGAGGAACAGTGAGCCTGTCTCATAATAATACCTTATTACCAATTTTTACCAATTAAAAAACAATACAATTTCCCTTCGGATCTATAAAGTCTTATCTATCTATCTCTTATGTGATGTATGTAAATGTCCTAAAATATGTTTTCACTGTAAATGTAAATGTTGTGTTAGTTGTCTCAGCTTTGGCAACATTGTAATTAACCGGTCACGCCAATAAGCTTTAAATGTGAAATTTCAATTTGAAGAAAGCATGACGTAAGCCTAGGTGCTGTTGGGTCATGGCTGTAGGAAAACTGCACAGACCCCCCTTCCTGACGTAATAAAAACGCTGTTTTCGCTGTCTCGTCGCCTTCGTTGTGACGCACGCTTGCCCCGGGGAGCAACTCACCGGGCCCAGGACATGGCTCTCTCCTCCGGCACGGCCTCGGGCAGGTGGTCCCCGGTGAAGCTGGCCACCTGCAGCCGGTAGGAGCGCGGGTGCCCCCACCTGTTGGTGAGGTTGCTGGCGATGTGCAGGTACCGGGCCGTCTTGGTGTCGTAGCGCAGCGCCGCCTCCCCTTCGGTCTTGAGCTGCCTCTCCACCAGCCTGGGGATCTGCGCGTACTCTCCGGGGATCCAGGGCAGAGAAACGTTGACAAACTCCATGTCTTTGGTCAAGAACATATTCTTTCTGCCTTTAAAATAAGCGAATGAAAAGCGCAGCATTAGAGCAGTCGGCCAGGCAGCAAGGACTAATAGTAACAATTCAGAACTGTAGTTCAAGATGCACAAAAGGCACCAAGTTAATGCTAAGAATAAACGGCAACGTAATTCACCAAATAATGAAGGGATTTATATTATTTCCCTTAAAAATACCGTATCGTGATGTTAGGCGTTCAGTTTTATTATTTTTGCACAACTGAACAGAGTGGAAGTAGTGGCCGCTTTCCTTGGCTGCAGTTTCTGTTGGCTGTATCTGAACCCTGGGGTTCCTAGATCCGCGCTGCGCCGAGCGAACACGGAACTCGGGAACCACTCCGGATGGGACCCCGAAACTTTATAGGGGCATCCCCGCGGCTAGACCTGCCGTTTCCCCACCGCCGAGACATCTTTTGAAAAAGACAGATTGGGATAAAAAGACATTTCCATTGGAGAAACACCTCTCACGTCAGCTGCTTTTTTCAGGACTGGTCTGTTGGTACGTTTTATCAGACTGTCCCTCTGTGCAGCATTAACTTGAAATGTCTTCATATCCCAAAGTTAGGATCCTGAGCCGGAGAGTTATTTGAGGTGTTGCTCAGCACGAAAAAGTTCACCCTAAACCCGGATCTTGCTCGTTGGTGTTTTAAGATGACAAAATAAAATTGTGTTTCTCGTTCAAATATGATCTACTTAAGATAAATGCCAATTTCAGAAACCAAAGTGGGTGGACTATTAAACCCTGCACGATGATTGAAATTAAATTACGAAGTATTAATTAAATTGAATGAAATTCCTTATTTCGCACGAAGCGGTAAAACAGTACAGGACTAGCTGCCTCTATCTATAGTTACACAGAAACTATAATAGGACCACAGATTATCAGTTCTAGTCAAACAAATTTATCAGACGGCTGTCGATGCGCCTTAACCATATCAGCTAACAGCCAGCCAGGCTCAACGCCAACCAAGGCCACAGAATTAAGAAAGGAGAGATACAGGCACGTACCCAACACATCCAGGTCTACCTTGAAGTTGATGAAGTGCGTGTGGATGTTGCCCAGTGTGTTCTCTGCCACCTGATGCCCGTACCGGAGGTTGTCCTCAGTCTTGTACGAGGAAGAGATGTAACCCGTGGCGTGCACTTTGGCCTCCACGGACCCGCTCTGGTAAAACATGAAGTCCCACATGTAGTCGTAGTTGCCAATGGCCGTGATGGTCCTGAAAACCAAGACGTTATTTGCCAGCCCCCCGTAACTGTTGGAAAAGAAGTCGGAGAAGTGCCTTCGGAGCGGGCGACCGGTGTTGTGCTCGAAGATGCAGATGGAGTTCCTGAACCTCTGGGTGAAGTTGGTGTCGATGTAGCGGTAGGTGTCCACGAAGGTGGCCGTATAGGGACAGTCGACGCCGCGCACCAGCTCGTGTGCGAACCGCCCTATCCCGATGCTGGAGTCGATGAACTTGGTGAGCATCATCCCCGGGGTGACCGAACCGTATACCGACATCGCCTCCTGGACACTGAGCTCGTAAGCGATCCGCTCCCCTTTGAAGCGGATGTCGAAAACCCGCATGCCGGTCAGGGAGCTGAGGCCGAAGGCGAAGCTCCAGTCTAAATACAGCACCTGGTTGTTCCTGACGCTGTAGCGTTTGCCTTGAACGTCGTACTGTAGAGGACCGAATCCCGTGGGCTTGTGCCTCGGTTTCAGAGAACCGTAGTCACGGCTCTCTTTGTAACGGATTTTCTTGACTTTACCGGCCGCGTATTTTTCGTTCAGCTCCTCTAGGCTGGCAAAGTATTCCCCGTTGTACAACGCCTTTTCCACCTTCCACATGGAGCTTTTGGTGTCCCTGTGGTTAATCAGGACTTCAAACCCGACGGGGTGGATGTAAAAGCCACTCCTGTCGCGGAAAAAGGAGAACCAGGTCTGCCGGTCCCCCGACTGGATACCCCGGGGCATGCCCTCAAATGGGTTCAGAGTGTTGCTCTCGCTGTAACCGAAACTCTCCTCCAGGATGGTCTTCACCTTTCCGAACACCTCTTTGTGGACGAATTTAAAAAGGGCGACATATTCGCCGATAGTCACAGTGCGGGCGTTTATATGCAATTCTTGGTTGTATGTCTTCAGTGTGACGTCTTGGTGATGGTCTGGGTTCGGTAACGGCCACACGATGTACTCCGAGATGCTTTGCTTTGACCCGGAGAACACCACGGCCTTGGCCTCTCTCCTGGGCCTCGGGCCGCCCTTGTCAAGGTAGCGCAGCACCTCGCTCTTCGGGGGCAGGTGCAGCTCGATCAGGAAGAGGACGTTTTCGGAGGGCTGCGCAAATACAGATCGGGAGATGTTCAGTGCGGACACGCTCCACATGTAATCGCGGACTTGCGTGTACTCTTCGCTGGTCAGATCCGCGAACACCAGGCCTTTGTCATCGTGTTTCTTGCCTTTCAGCGCGTCCTGGAATTCCGGAGCGCATTTGGGTGTCCTGGGCGTGTGCAAAATGATGAAGACTATATTGGCGACCACCGAAGCGAACACAAACACAGTCAAGAGGCATTTCAGTATCGTGTTCATCTTTTTTGGTGTCCTGTAAAATAAAAACCCAGCCGCGTCTCAGTGGGGGCTATGCGTTAGGACGTCTGGAGAGGTACAGTATAGGGATAGAGCCCGCAGAGAAGCAACAGGAAGGCGCGGAGCCAGGCCACGTACAGCGAAATGAGTCCTCCCCCTCCCAGCCCCTAGTCCACACAGCTGCGCTGCTCCAAGACCTGAGACAGCCTCCCACACACGCAAGGCACGGAAACGTCGATCTCTATCTCTGTCCCACTGCGCTCCTTCGAGATGGCAAACAAAGTCTGCCCCCCCCCAAAAAAAAAACATCCTCGCTATCCTCACCAGTTCAGGCCTCCCAGTTAACGGTTTTATGTTATTCTGTTTAAAAAGCTGTGCATAAAAGCGTTTTGGGAATGGGAAGGTGCTTTGGCGGAAGTTTTGTAGAGATAGTTAACTATCCCCTAACTTTTTGCATAATCTGTGAAAAAGCGCGTCTCGGAGATAAACTATTTACACGCTCTATGTAATGTAATGCAATGCTTTTAAATCCTAACATATGGAAAGAAAAGCTTTTATTCATCTACTTAAGTAGCTTTGTGGCATTTAAATTATAGCTCTTTTCTGCCTCTTAAACCCGGGTTCCCAGCCCCTGTTCTGGGTATCTACACCTGCTGCTTAAATGAAAACGCAGGGGTTCTGTTATTTTAGGAACAAGTAATAGGTTTATTCCATGCTGAAAAAAAGAAGAAAGAGAACACAACGTTTCGGCCGTGGAGCCTTCTTCAGGTGTGAGGCCTTCTCACCTGTGTGGGGCCTTCTTCACACCTGAAGAAGGCTCCACGGCCGAAACGTTGTGTTCTCTTTCTTCTTTTTTTCAGCATGGAATAAACCTATTACTTGTTCCTTTGCAGCCTACGCATGCTGACGCAGCTACCCACCTGATCTGTTATTTTAGTACGTAAATCGGCGTAGTTTTTCACTTAGGAGCAGGATTGGGAACCTTTAATTTAAATCACCAACAGCTGAAGAGCGACCGAGAGAAGGGAAGAAAAAAAAACATGAAATGGGTTCAATTTAATCTGAATGTAATTCTTCGTGCGCCACGGTAACGCTACTGTTCGAGTAAACGAAATTAAGGAAGGCGTTACTCAGATTCTGAAACAGCCCTTTGTGTTAATCAATTTCCACCGGTACCGGTACTAAACCTGTACGTTTTAGGCGTCTGACGGAGCGCGTAAAACCTATAAATCACGAACAGTCGCAACGTGGAGCGATGTTCGCAGCCAGTGTGCAGAACAGGAACCGGGATACTGTGCGACTCGTCAGACCTCGCTATGCCCCAGTTGGAACCCGACCACCTTCAAGAAGAATTACCACGGCGTCTTCCTTTGGTTCTGATCCGTCCTTCTCATGACCCGGTCTTGGTGTGTATTGCCCGTATGGTGTTCTTAACCTTTGCTTAACATTAACCTTTGCTTAAGCGTATTCATACAGCCAGTTTTATTCTCCCTTTATTAAATGAATAGCACGCTCGCTTCTAAATAAAGTTCAACCGGTTTGTGTTTCTCAGCACACAGGCCGTAGCCTGATTTGGACTCGCAGCTATGCAAAGCGTATCAAAGGGCTGAAGGGCTCTCGTTTGGTAACTGCGTGTCAGTTGTGTTAATTTCCCGGTACGAGTATTTTAAACCCCGAATGACCAAGGCAGAGCCATCTCGCCCGATCACTTTAGGACCTAGAACAGAGGGGGCAAGTGGAAACTGAGGAGTGTATTTTTTTTACCTTTTTTTTATTGGTACATAGTTATCTGTAGGTGCGTCCCTTCCTGCCGTCGTTTGTCTGGCGATATAGGATTTGACTGCTGTTAAAGTAATTACAGAAGGCTGTTAATGAAATTGCTGAATTGGAAAACCAGTAAATGGAAACAATCTCAGACCAATCTGAAACTGTTTTGAGACTTGCACGATCAGTGCGATTTTTTTTTCCAGCCATGAGAAAACACTCACACTCTCAGTGCAAATAAATTTCCGGGTTTTATGTTCTCAGGGTTTCAGGAGAGAGAAAAAACAAACTGCACGGTTTCATCGCATTCAACTGCTTTCCAATATATCACTGAGATCTGGAGCGTTTCCATAAACCCTGGAATGTGTTCAAACATTTGTCAGCGCTGTTCGCTCTGGTCTCGGCTACTCCTCCGTTCCTACAAGAATGTGCCGCGCATTAGCAACCCAAGATCCTGTTATTACAGCTAATTCAAGGTACATTTTAGCAAAGCAGAACTGCTCTCGTACAGATAATTGAGCTGCGGGAGTCGTGCCAAGTTCGCGGGGAATTACCGGCGAGTCATGCGAAGTCAACACGAAAACGGCAATAAATAAACCCGCCTATTTCCCGGGATAGATTTTGGGCCTCTGTGACTCTGAACTGGACAAGCGCTTATTGAAAATAAATGTCATGTGGTTGTGGGTGATACTGTCTCCCTCTTAAATTAAAACACACCAGAAGGAGAAATAGAAAGTTACAAACCTTTGACGTTCAGTGGAAATGTAACACCCCATCCCTGCCCTGAGTCTGACCCCTCTGCTTTCATGGGGGGGAGGGCTCTTGTCTGCATTCTGTAGGGTCCCTAGTCGGACTTCAGTGCTTCCAGATGTTTCCTAGTACTGTGTACACCGTTTACATGCACAACACGTTTGAAAGGGGCTTCCTAAACAGCACACAACCAATCTGATAAAAGTCCATGAACTGTGACTGTACATTGTTAATTGTTAACAGATTTAGAACAATCTGTTTGTGATGATTGCTAGAAGAACAGCATTCCTACCTCCCAACTCTTGGGTCCTGGGTTCGATTGCAACCCGGGATGGGAGCACCTTCTGTGTGGAGTCTGGGTGTTCTCCCCAGGTCCTTGTGCGTTTGCTCCAGGTGGTCTGGCTTCTCCCCACAGATCGCAGTCTCACTGTTGAGGTTAATTGGCAGCTCTGATTTGCCCAGCAATGGACTGATGCTCAGGTCATGTGCTTGCTGGGTTGGGTTACAGCTCGTCACAGCCCTCTAACCCTGCTCCCAAAGAGCCCCAATCCAGTTCGTGTCTTGATCCTTCTAAACCACTTACTTGAACTGAGGTGCACTCATATTAGTGATCAATTAATGAGGTCATGTGTTAAAAAGGGAGCCCTGGGACTTCTATGGGCTGAAGAATGTTCTATTTTTTTTGTTCCAAACTGACCTCTGAACTACAGAATTGAATGCACCTCCTGTATAACTGATCCAGGTCTTTCAAAAGTAAAGATTTAAAGGTTCGGTATAACACCTACTGGCCTGGGGCTGTCAGGATTGCAGAAAATTCTGCTCTAATGAAATGGTTCTCAGTCCTGGTTCTGTTGGACCTCCCGGTCTGCTGGTTTGTGGTCCAACTGAGCCCTTGATCATCATTGCTAATTGGTGCCTGTAAATGATCTTCTTGCTGGTTTAGTCTATTTTCTGCACTTAGTTCTTGCAGAAACACAGTACCTACGTTAGGGTATATTATTGCATTCTCTCCTGAATTTGCTAATTAGGAATTTGCTCACTTGTGTTGGATTTAACAGCTCTTATCAGGTGACCTGCTGATGATGAACCTACACAGGTGGGAATGAAACCATATCGGACATCTCCCACAGTGAGTCAGTGTTTAAATTCTCCTTCAGGAGGGCTGGTTATATTATAGCCTGAGTGAGGTTCCGCGACTTGCTCATTAGCAAAGGTTTCGTAACAGTTTTAAAGTTGAAAGACAGTTTTAAAAAGACCTGAAATAATAATAAAAAAAATCTTTGTGATTAAGAGTGCGACCGGTGCAAATCCCGTCAAAGACAGATGTTCAATATTTTGCAGACTGGGGGTCTATATAAACCTTCCACGCACTTCAGTCTCAGAACCTCGACAACATGAGTTTTTTTCCAGATCGGACCAGATTAGAGTATTAAAAGTCTGTGACAACGTGAGGAAGATGAGCGGAATATCCCCAGCTCCATAAAGCTCTGCTTATACTTTGCTGAAAATACAGCCATGTAATTTAGTTCTCTCAGTTAACACAACAGTTACGAGAAAAAATAAATAAAATTTAGAAATAATATTTCTGTAGTTGTCTGTGTGCGTCAAGGGCACACAGCGGTTTCGTCTCCACTAAAGATGCGGATTTTTTTACATCCTCCTCCTTTATCCAGTATGAAATGACGTCTCGAACCACCGTATTATCAATTAGTGCACGAGTAATTAAAAAACCGCTTCAATGAAATAATTTGCTGCTGTTTATCTAACTGGATCGGGAATTTCTGAATCCCTCTTCCGAAGCGACACCGGCTCTTAGGGTGACAGTCCAGCAGGTTTTGTTTTTCAAATCATCCGCAACCGCTACGCTGACGACTGGACTTGAGGAGCACTACACTGAATAGACCCTGAACTGATTTTCCAGACCCGTTAAAGTACAAAAATCTCTTTTCCGCATCTTTGTTATACGCACACGTTGAGCTTTCGCTTTCCAGCGAAGTTTTCAACTGTGTGTTTGGGCTAGCTTCATAGTGCCACCTGCTGATCTGTGTCAGAAAAGGCACATCTAACAGCAAAAGTAACCATTCCCTGGCCATGGACAGTGGCCTATATTTTTCGCCGTCTGACTTTATTTTCATGCGTAATAATAACCATCCAGTTCAGCAAACATGTATTGCCAGCCAACATACTGATTTTATTTTCCCTTCGTTTTCCTTCGTGTCCCCTGGTTCGTATTTTGACATTTCCTTTTTTAATACTAGACTTTGAATACTTGATTCAAGCTCCCCCTGTAGTCTTTGTCCTTACCTAAAAATATTTTTTTTACCTATAGGACATGCGTAAGTATTTGGTTGCTCTCCTGTGGACACATTCCAGAACAGCGATATGCTTTATGTATAATCATACGCAATATCCTAAATACACTCTTACTGGTGCATTATACAAAACTTAACATCTCTTGATTTAGATCGCACACTGTTTATCTGTTAACTACATATCTAGCATTCTGTTTGCCTTTTTTATTGTTTTTCCACACATTGTCTAGAAGATGATGTGATAAAATAGTATACTAAGTCTTTTGCATGAATAGATTCTTCAAGCTCGGTGTTGCCTGGCACATTCAGGTCCCTGGCTTTCAAGAGGAATGTCAAAGATTCCTGAAAGGCAGAATTTGCAAACTGGTGCAAAGCATGATATTAATTCCATCCATTTTCTTCTTCTTCCAGTTAATGGTCTTGGAGCAGCTGGAGCCAGTTCTTCTTCTTCCAGTTAACTTCCAGTTGGAGGAGCTGGAGCCAGTCCCGGTGTGCAACAGGTGCAAGGCAGGGCACGCCCTGGATAGGACGCCTGTCCATCGTAGGGCACATACAGACACAGACATGAGCATACACCCAGGGTGAGTCTTCCCAAAAGCCTACCAGTATGTCTTTGGATCTGATAAAGGCAAGCATTTTATTAGATTGGTCAGAAAGCATGATCTATCATTTGTATTGCTTCCAGTGGTGTTGCACTAGCCTGTGATCATCAAAATGGGCTCCCTCTTCATAACCAATCTAATTATTGTCACGTCTGTTCAATAAAATGTCAGTACTCCTGCTACAACAAAAAATGCCATTTCCTGATAACTTTGCAAAGATGTTGTTGTAAGTGGTTTCATTTCATACTGCAGTGTATATTGTAACTTCCAACTGTGTCTAAGGCTTTTGCACAGCTGTGTACTGTATAGCAAGAAACCAAAACAGAAGAATGCAAAGTAACAGTAAGTTTTATCGTTAAAGTGCCTAGTACTGTAGAGCCCTCCCCCTACACTGTGAGTGTAGTGGCAACACTAGAGATAAGCGGTTTCTTCTGGCAAGAACAGATCATAGTTATCAGGGCTGCACTTAAGCAGCTTGTGCTGAACAAGCCCTTTATTCAAACAGGAAAAAACTGACATGTCAATACACAGAGCCAATGGTACAGCAGTCATCCCAGTATAGAAAAACAGTTTATTTTGCTTTTAATCTCAATTACGCCTATAGGTATGAGATAAACACTCTCCCTCTGCTCATGTTGGTAAACATGCTGTAACGTTCTGGTTACAGGGTGATATCAAAAAAGAGCCACAGAGAAAGGAGTCATTATGGCTAAAATTAACAAGCCAGGCCTGACAACCTCTAGTTCATTCCATTGGCTTTGATTTTGCTACTTTCTCAGGCACATTCCCTCATACTAGGCTTCCAGTCTAGTCTTCAGGGTCTTCCACAGCCTGTTCAAGCCATTAATAGAACAAACCAGATGCAGTAACATGATCATTTGAATGAGGTCTTGTATTTGCTGTATATTTTTCTGTAGCATTTGGTCACCATCTCTGTTTTGATTTTTATTTGTAAAATTTATTTTGAAAACCAAGCACCTTTGTCAAAGCTGATGGTAGAGGAAGTGAACTGGGGAAACAAATTAGCGTTGCACAAAGCTGTTGACACCCACAGGGGAAGCAGACACCTGAAGCACATGCATATGCCCTACTTTGTGATGCTGAAGCAGAGGCATAGTTAACAATCACATACACGTTAGGGGCTTCGAAAAAACTAAGTGGCGCTGCAGACTGGACGACTCACTCTATCTACGAAAGACTCTTACAAATAACCGATAGTAACCAGAACTTTGCTCTGGGATAACCCAGGGAAGATGTATGCAGACAGCAGGAAGAGATCAGTGGGACGAAAGGGAATACATCATTTTAAAAAAAGCTTTTGTAAAAAGCACACGCTTTGAAATAATTTTATTAAGTAAAATAATGACTTTTCATTAAAAAAAGTGAACACGGATAGATTTTGAAGCTGATAACATGATGTTTTGAGTTGGAGGGCAAAATATCTAAAATATAGGTAAGTGACAGGTACCTCTCCTGTCTGAATCGACATCTTGTTGAAATAAAAAAAAAGTCAACCAAAACTTTGTCTACCTCCAAGGTACTGCACACAGAACCGAAATGGAAATAAGGACTTCCACCTGACAAATGTTTTACAGGCTTCTGACTGTCTCAGAGCAGTTAGCAAACCAACATTTGATTCTAAAAGTTGCCTAACGGGGGCTCAACACAGATTTCTTACTAGTTGTCATCTGCAGTGGTAAACCAGGACGAATTGAAAACTGAAAACAAATATTGTTCATTGTTTAAATAGTAACTGACCAATACTCAAACCAAAAAATAGCTATTTAAAAAAAAAAAAGAGGCTTGAAAAGAATGAATAAAAATTTACTCCAATCTAGTTTTTCTTCTTTAATAGAGCAGACTCCCTAATGCGATGTGATTCTGGGACATACTGGTCTGAACACAACGTTGATACATGACAAGGAATTTCCATGTTTCTTTTCAAACCCAGCTGGTTCCGATTCCTTTTATGTTGTGGGGGGGGGGAATGAGAACTTTTCTCTCTAGAAAAAAAGAACCTCCCGAATCCCTCAAGCCACACACTGCAAAAGGAGCAGCTTTCGTGCCAATACTTGATTTAAGTCTTGACAGTGAAAGGGGACAGAATTGACCTTGGTTCAGATTGTGTCGTCTTAATAAAAGCTTTTTTTCCCCCAGAGAGAAAAAACATTTAAATTAAACATCACTGTCCTTCGGCACACACGAGTCGTGTGCCAAACGCGTGTCCGTCAAAGTTGCGAAGGGTGTTCTTGGAAAAGAACACCCGTGGTTTAAAACCGCAAACCATCACATTTTTTTTTTGTTGTTTTTAATTCTAGCAATAAAAGCTTGATGTCTCCTGTGCTTTCTGAATCCCTGCCAGTTCAATGCCAGCTTGGTCAAGTCCGCTTGATCAGAAACCAGCCAGGGCAGCTCGGACGCTGGCGGGGAGTCCCTCTCTTCCTAGTAGAGGGTCTCTGCGTTACTGCTTCTTGGTCTCTTGATCTTCTCGATGTTTTTCAGGATCATGTCGTGCAACGTGACCTGTGTTAGGAGAGGACTAGACAGTCACTTTGCAGCCTTTTACCATGGAACCAAATAGGCTTAAAAGGTCCGCTATCGGTCTCGGTACAGGACGGGACAGACGGGATGAGACGCCCTCTAAATAAATCGCAAGCAGCCGGTTGGCAGTGGAAGGAGAACAGTGCTCAATCTCACGAGAGCACTGATCAAAGCCATCTGTCATTTTACACAGCTCCCCTGCTGACGCGGCTGCATGTGACAGTGATGTATATGCTCATTTTGCTAGTAGTCACAGGGATCACTGTCCCCACCTGTCAAGGATACCCCCTCCAAATAATTGGGGGCCACTAGCTGGCCAATCACATCACCCCTGTCTGAAGTGTTGATGTCTGGGCTACAGGCCTCAAGCAGGGCACAAGGTACACGTGTAATATATACACATGCATTGAAATAGCCACATATTATAAACCTAATAGATTTTGCTATATAAATAAAACAATAATCTGGTGCTCTGCACTATTGCATCACAGAGAAGGATCAGGGAGGAGATACTCACATATTGATTTCTCAGCTCCGACACAATGATCTTCAGGCTGATATACTCCTTCTCATCGATTTCAGTCACTGTGCGCCGATAGTCCTCCTGTAACCCAGACCCCAGAGAGAGCACACTTCTTCACTCATAACGCAGGGCTTATGATGGTACTAAATATTTATAAAACAGGTCTGTGGGGCAGGAACTGAAAACTATTCTGAACTAAAAGGGTAATTTTATGTTAGTTTCTCATGTGTTCCATTTATGATATAACTGAAAGGAATGATAATAATAAATAATAATTATCATTATTTTTACTCTTATTTGCACACTTCCATTTAGCTGCAAGGAGACACTTCTGTATCAGAGCATTTAATGCATTTGGACAGTCTTGGATCTGCAACATATTTCTGGTTTTGTAAACCAAGCAAAGTTCTAGAGTTTACATGAAGTAAGGGGGCACTAACTTACCACGTGTGGATATTTTGCTATTTTAGACACCAGCTTTGCCCTTGTAATGTAGTATCTAGAGAGGAGAGGAAAGAGGAACAAGACTCACGCCTGAAATAAAGGTAATGCTTTTTAAATACATTCTAAAAGCATCTGTCATCAAAGCATTAATACCGAAGAAGCAATGTTTGCAGAATCAGCAGCAGAATTTGCTGTCCCTGCTTGCTGGGTGGAACGGCTGTGCAATGAGAGACTGGCATGGTTTCCTGTAGTCAAACAAGAAACAGGTGGAGAAGATACTGAACCATTTATACCTCGAGATCTGGTCCAAGTATGAGGCCGCCTCGCCTTCCACAGTCCGCAACTCAGCCACCGTCTCCTCCTGGGGGAAAGAGCGCAGGGGGCAGCATTGGGAAGGTAAGAAACTTCACCTTGAGCCATTGTAAAGCTAGCAGCTCATTGGAAGAACCAAATGAAAACACTGTACACATCGGTCTCAGAGTTAGTGAAGAAGGCAGCACATCAGTACCAGGTCTGCTTGCTACAGTACAGGAACAGTTGGTAACATCTGCTCTGAGCAGACACAGTAAAGCATCAGCCCACCATCTGTCCTTCACAATGGTATTTTACATGCTTACTGGTGTATTGCATGTTCCCAGGATTCAGTAGGGAGATCGAACAGCTTCCTGCAGACTATCAATCTTAAATTGTGGTCATAAATGACTGATTTGTCAAAGGCAGTTTTGGGGATACACACTTATAAAGCTTGACCACAGATTTGTGCCATGGATCCAAACAAGGCAAACCTTTAAGAGTGACCTTAAGGCTGATGTCTTTTCCTAATACATTTATATAGCTCCTGTTTTCTGTTATTTAAAAAAAACAATGGCTTGCCTTTGGAGAGCCTTTAAGGATAAAGAAATCGGTAGCCATTTCCCACTGATGATTTTAGCTTTTGAAGTTAATACTGTTATAACCTGGAAATCACTGGTATGGTTAAAAAAAAAAACAACAGTTTCATTTAAATATTTAACCTAGAAAACTACCTGAAAGCAAAAGTGTGCTGCTTTATTCAGGCCCAGTTAATTACCTGGATAGAAACGCCAAAGTTGTTGCCATCTTCTATTCTTGGGATTAGCAGTTGGACCCACATTTTGACCTTAAGGTTGAAGACAGAGGAGAAGAGTGACATTACTATTGTAATAGCTTCTCAATATTCTATTGAGAAGAGTGACATTATTATTCATTCCAGGCAGACCCAACTGGCAACTTCTAAGATACTTTCCATCACTGATGCAGGTCAGAACACAGGTACCTCTTAGAAGAAATGTGTGAAGAGCTCCAGGGAACAGGAGAGATCCACGGCAGGGGTCTGTTTCGCTCTAAGCTGATGCCAGTGTTTGGGGGACTTGGGGTGTTCTCCCCAAGTTTGGGTAAGTTTCCTCTGGGTGCTCCAGTTTCCTCACACAGTCCAAAGACATACTAGTAGGTCAACTGGCTTCTGGGAAAACTGGTCCATATGTCAGTGCCCTGCAGATACTGGCAGTGTCCAGTTTAGGGTGTACCCTGTCTTAGACTCATTGCTTGCTGGGATAAGCTCTGGCTGCCATTTGACCCTTAATTGGAAGAAGCAGTTAGAACATGGATGGACTGCTGGATTAGCACCATCACCTGATGGGGGGGAAATGCCAGGCATTCCTAATCCTTTTAAAATAGCCTTGGAGTGCTTTCACTTCAGGTTTCAGATCAATTCAGATCACAATTTTACTAAAAGCAACGTGGTCAGAAGCAAAAGACTTAATAAGATGAGGCTGAGCATTTGTCCCAAATCATGACATGTAAAGCTGTATCAATCTCTAGCCACTGAGAGGACCACGGGGCCTTGATTCACTGTCAGTGATTTAAAGAAGCAATTAGCTATTCCCCTGGCATGGAAAAGATTTTAACTTTAAGAAGCTTGGAAAACCTGCTGGATTCTGGAACACAGTGACTGAAGACAGGAATCTCTGGGAATGTCCAACACATGAACAACATCTCCAGGAGTATCCACCAGGTGTCCAGCAGGAACCTACTGTATTGCATTTCTCTATCAGGGTTCTGATCTCCGGCTTGACTTTTTCAATAAGGTCCACCAGCTTGTTGTTGCTCTTCATCATTCCCCCTGGCATCACAAACACCTTGGTGCCAGTCACTGCACAGAAGGAGAAATCAACATCACTATAGCAAAGCAACAGGCATCCTAAAGGCAGAGAGGTCTCCCATTTCATTTGGTACCGCCATTCCCTCCTGCGTGTGTAAAGAAGGAGGCTTGCAAGTCAATGTGGGTGGGTTAGGGGAGACTGCCTACTCCTCCTCATTCTCCCGTGTGTGGCTGCAGGATTCATGACTACAAACTGAGATACAAAAACTCAGCTGGCTATTTCTAATTGGGTGTGTAGCAGAAAAATAAATGTTGATTCTATGGGATTTGAAAAAAAAGTACAGCAGGAAAGAAAGATCTTGGAGAGCAGTCTAGTAAAGTAGCAAAATAACACAGGACTCATTATAAACAAGGTCATTTGTTTTGTAGTTGGCAGCTGATTGATCCAGGTTTTCATCCAAATGTTCCTTAAGGGAAGCCAGGGTATCAGCTTCAACAGGTTGGCTTGCTAGCTTGATTCAGACGCCCACAACCCTTTGGGTACAGAAGAGCCTCTTGGTCTCAATTGTAATTGCACTTCCCCATTGGCTTCTCAATGGCTAATGCATAACACTCTGCATTACTTACTTTGACCTAGTCTAGGAAACGTATCACAGTAGAAAACCACACACAAGTCATATTGTAGGGCAGGTAGGACAGGGATGTAAATAGAAAAAATATGCAAATGCCTTAAACAGCCCCTTTAACTTGTAAGCAATCAAAAAGGGCACATGCACACTACCACGCAACTACGACACCCATTTAATAGTTTGACATCTCAACCTTTCTCTGCACAAGCACCACATCCAGCAGACCGGCTTGGCACAACACACAATCGCCAGCCTAGACGTCACTAATGACACTCAGGAACCCACCTTGGCAGTTGTCATCTCCTGCCCCATCTTCCAGCTTCCTCTTCTTGGTGTTCTGCTGCAACGCAACAGTTTCATTTAAACATTAGTGGCCTGTCGCAGCTCTGCCTGGGCACTGTGCTTTTCTCACACCTGCCCGAGCGCTGCAGTCTTAACAGGTTAGGAAAATGAACGCATGCCTTTAGCTCAGGAGATTGAATTAAATCAGTATGTTAAACCAGTCTAGTGCAGGGAGAATAGCTTCCAGGTTATTTTATTTTTTTTACACCCACCAACTTGGAATCAGCTGACTCAGATCAGATCAAATCTAAAACCCGTACTGGCCTGCAAGAATAGAGGGCCAGCATCTAACAGTCCTCGTCCCTCTGGCGAACCAATCCGGGCCTGCCCGATCCAGTCTGGTTCTTATATATATGACACACGATGTCACAGACGGTGTAAGAGGAGAGTCACTGGGCAGAAAAGCTTCTCTGAGAGAGCACCGGTTTCCATCGAACAGGAAACACTAAGAATGTCCCCAACACTACAGGATAAAAAATAGAATACTCTTGGCATATTTCGTGCGATGGCACCTCAGATTTTACCTCATGCCTGCTGTTGGCGATTCCAAACGAATTTAAAACAATTGTTACAATGACAAATTTTCACTTTTCTACAAAAAAAAAATCTAAGACCAATTGTTTTGTGGTACAATTTTCTCTTAATCAAGGGTACAGACATGAAATAATAGCCTAAATAAAAGGTGGGCTGCAGGAAAATAACTGAAAATGTTGGGGAGGAAAGTATGAAAAGACCTCATTTGCTCCTAGCTTGTACGAAGGCCATAGTATTTAGATGAACTGATAATTCCATGTGGGAAGGGTATGTTAAAAATAGAACCATTGTCAATTCTGCATTGAAAACAAAATATTAAACCTCCATGTAAATTAGCCCTCAAACAGGCTCAGCCATCAATCCAACTGTTTGGACTGATCGGTTTTATCAGCTTTTAAAAAACAAGGCTCAAGAGGAACAGCATTATACTCACAGGCTCCAGCCCATCGTGGCTGTTTGTGAGGATGATGGGGTCAGGCACGGATAAATTGATCTCTGAATGGATGTCTTTCAGCTCAATGATGTTTAAGATCGGGTCCTGTAGAACAGCAGATCAAGGCACAATGAAAACACATGTGAACGTCAGCAGCAAAAGGTTCTGCCTTGAAACCGGACCACAGCCTTCATCTGAAGAGTCCTGTCAAACCACCAGCCTTGGAGACACGTAACTTTATCCTTTCCTTTAACATCCAAGGAGTGATGATTAGTCCTTGAGCTCAGAGACCTCAGCTTGTTTTAAGACCTCATTAGGCTTTAACTGTTCCTTCGTCAAAACAGAAAACACATGTCCTTTCCCCCCAAGCATATCTGCTTTTTAACATTTTTCGTTAGTTCCCTTCTTGAGGAAATAACCACAAGGCAACAGAGAAACATTTCTCTCTCCCGTTCGGCTGAGCAAGGGGTAAAGCTCTATTCGCTCACCATATGACAGTCACACAGCATTGGTCACGTACTCGGCAGTGATCGTTCAAACCAAGCACCAGACCTTAAATCTCTTCAGTAACTCCAGAAAATGTGAGGCTCCACGTTACTGAACTCAATTCTAGCTTGATTCACACATTTTTTCCAGCACTGCTGTGGTGCCCAAGACGTAAGGCTGCTAACTTAGAAATGTTAATTAACTTCACCCAGTACAATTCATGGTTCTGGGAGCGCGGTGACCTTTTTAAGCCTCTCTTGGACGTAGATATCTGGCTACACGGAGGGGGCTTACACCCTCTCCAGAACTTCGATCTGCACGAAGGTGGTTATTTTTCTCCTCTGCGGTATTATTGCCATCCCATCAGCTCTCCGACCCAAAGGTCTGGCTAGGGTGTAGTAAGCGTTGATTTCAGCACAATGAACAGCAAGTCGTGTAGGTGAACCAGCAGGGGGCAATCTTCTGTTGAGGACAGAATTACTAATTGAAGAGCCCCACTATGGGGACAGGGAATACCGTGCTGTACAATGATTTCAGATGAGATTGAACTAATGTCCTGATTATTTGGTTGTTAAAAGATCCCTTGAAACAGTTTTTCCAGAATTGGTATGTTAAGCAAGCATCTTGACTAAATCCCATTCTGGGCTTGCATGATCCAGCATGGCTAAACGTCTGGAGTAATTCTCACCACAACTGATTGGTGATTTGCTTTTCAAAGGTGAATAAAGTGCTCTGGGAACCACTAACAAGGAAAGTGCAGTTTAAACGCAATTCGTCTTCTTCCAGGTCTTCTCAGCTGTGGATAGGAGCTCTTACACAACGAAAACCGCGCAAACATAACGGTAAAAATCGAAAGACTTACCTTAAGAAAATGATCGAGTTCCAGTAACTTCTTTGGAAAGAAATTTGCGACTAAGTCTTCTGCCTAGAAAAGTAAACATTGGGAAATGCGAGCTCTAAGTACAGTACAACTTAGTTTTTTATTTACGTTAAAAGAATCGTTTTAATTTGAAAGCAAAAGTACTTACTTCACCGGTGATTCGTTCTCTGAAAGCATCAACCTGTAGAAAGAGTAAACGTAAATCGGGGTCCACAACTAGACTGTCAAAGACTGAAACGTTACCCGTCTGTGTAGAACATTGCCAAGGCTGTGCATTTAATACAGTAACGTAAGATTACGCTTGAAACAGAATACAGCACAAATGCAATAACACGTGAACATGATGCTGGCCAATATATCTACTGGGTGCAAGATTTTTCATTCGTTTTCGCTGTCTGTAGCTTCATCGGGACTGTCTCCTGAACCGAATTGTTTTGTCACTCAGTTTTTATATAAATATATGAGCACATGCGCCGTGCGACTCTGAAGATATAGATTTCGAATAAGATAAACACCCAAGATATCCGGCTGCAAGGAAGTAGCTGTTGAATGGACAGCAAAAATGTTTACGATCGTTTTTATTCTTTGACACAGCTCTTGGGATTGGACCCGGACATTCACTCAAAACAATAAACAGGACACGTGTCAAAAAACACGAATTCCAAACGCAGGCCAAATCGCACTGAATTTATTGTGCATTACAGGCGCTACGATCATACTATTATTTCACATTATGGAAAAGACTCAACCACAAACGCCTTAATTTCGACAGCAGCAGACACGCACCTCCGGCCAGAATGAAAGAAGGGGCAATACTATTGGAAATATCGGAATATACGGATAAATCCTGTTTTAACTTCAGATAATTCCATATAAATCGACATACGCAGAGCAATTATGACTATATCTGTGAAGCACAGCGCGGGAAAGCCAGGCGATTATGCTAGGCACTTATTTAATACCCCGGCCTTGTGTTACAGAAAAATTTCCGACTGTTCAAATTTCAACACCACATCCCCCTCGCGTCAGTCTTTCTCGGATTACCGTCTCTTACCTTAGTTTTGATTTCATTGTCCACTTTGAGGAGAGAAGACATTCTATTTTCAGACAAATAGGGAAGGGAATCTGAGATCGTATTAACAGAAATAACCGTGTGGCTCCTTTCAGCTCCTATTCACAGCCACAAGGTATCAAAGGGAGAGAACGAGAAATGACGTAGAAAAGCCGCGACGACAATGAGAGGCGAGGAAAATCACCCAACCACGTGGAAGTAGCGTGAAGCTGGCTACACTAAGCGACACGAATGACCCGGAAGTGTATGTCAATAGCCGAATTTCAATCAAAATAAAAGACTTTCAGCTACCACAGCAGCTTTTGAGGAGTATAGCAACATTAAGCGAAGTGACAAGCAGCTGAAACACCTGCTTTGTTATTTCGTCATGGTTAATTTGAGAGAGTCCTTTTTTAAATTTTAAATCGCCTCCACTTATCTCCAAGTTTGACAAATCTAAGATTATTAGAAGTTTGTATTAATTTTACAGCCCCTTTCTTCCATTTTTACTATTGTAAATATTGTCATTGCATAATTTTTTTCATAAAAATGTTTTTTTTTCTGTTAAATGAAAAAGGTTTTAAGATGCAAGCTTTTAAAGGAGTTGTATCTGAAATTTGTAATTAAATCAAATCCTTTATTATATTTAAATTCAATCATTTTTTAAAACTATAACCAGGGACAAAAACATTTTGTGCACCATCAAAAGTGGTGAAATAATACAATGTTAAGACAGTCAGTCAATAGCAAATCACCCTTCTTCATTCCGTTTTAAGTTTTTATTAATATTGTTGGTCTGGGTGGATCACCTCTAGAAAAACTGCAGTGCAGAATTGGATGGGGAAAATTTGTGCCTCTCCAAAGGTGGATGCAATCTATTGCACAGACCCTCAGCTGATAGAAAATCACCTTGTTTTTGTCAGACAAGTGTCTCTGTCAAAACTGCTGGGGTCTGTAGAGCACCTCCCATCCCCAGACTGAGACCGTGCACTGATGGACAGGGAGCGGTCTCACCCACCTCCCGACCAAACACAAATTTGTGCCTCTTCAAAAATACCTCATATCTATTCTACAGACCCTCAGCTTATAGAAAATCGCCATGGTCTTGTCAGATAAGTGTCTTTGCTAAAGTTGCTGGGGTTTATAAGACCGTAAAGTACGGGCCTTGTGTAGAATCACGTGATCCGCAGAGCACCATATTACCAGCAGTTGGTTATCATTCTCTTGTCTTTATTTATTTATGCATAAACAATAACAACAAATACAATACAAACAAGCGTACATATAACATTTTACGACAAAAACATCGTCAGGGGGTACATATTACAAAATAAATTCAAATTATGAAAAACGTTTAATCTTTCTCTTATGTCCATCCAGGGTTAGAATCACAGGTCTCTAGATTGCAATTTAATCTGCATTGTCATGAAACATTTGTCAGAAACTATAATTAGCATCTGCAAATACAAATATAACTGATTTACAGAATATGACGTGTATTGCGATATGTTGTAAATCAGCATACGCCTTTAAAGCAATGTAGCTTAACAACGCAGGACACAGAATAAGATGATGCTACAGCAGATGAATGAATAGGTATCGTTAACTTATATTCATAGGAAAAACACAATTTGGCATCTTCACGGTCAGAATCGGGAGCCTAAAATGATATAAAGAAACACCTGTCAAACCCAGCGCGATCCACTCGTCTCTCCCGGTTTGAGAGTGCGCATGTACCCTCTTGATGACGTCGGGCGACTTCCTGTCACGTGGGGGCCCGTGTTTACCGCAGATGTAAACAGAAACTGTGGGGAGAAGAGCTTCGTGGCCGAGCTCCGGAGGCAGGCGAGAAGCTGGCTTGTAAAAGAAGAAGACCGTGCCATCGAGTAGATCGCGCTGCTTCTTTGTTGGATGACCTTTGCAGACTTGCACATCTGACAGACGGCCATGGACTCCCCCGTGAGCTTGAAGGCGCATTTTAAGGGACGGGCGGAGAGCCTGCTGGTGTCGGACTCGGAGAGGACGCGCTGGGAGGCGGTGGAAGTGGCGGTGAGCCTCCGGCGCGGCGGTCGGACCTCGGCGTCGGCCTCCCCCCCCCAGACACGGCCCTTCTCGAAGTTTCTCCTCAGTTTAAAATCCTGCTTTGCTTCCGTTTCAGGGCCAGTTTGAAATTCCGACGCGCTGTGTATGCGTACGGGCGATAATAGGATTTCCGTGCCGTGCGTGATGTCAGACATTAGAAACGTCATAAATCGTAATCGCAACGAGTAGCCCTTATATCCAATTAATAAAGACCTGGCTCAGTCTTTTACATACACTGTACTGTGTTGGTAGCAAAACTATCAACACAGGAGTCATAAAAGAGTCGTGAATGACTGCCCGAGGTTCTGTGCGTGAACTGGGAAAATACCACAAATATGTTTACCTTAACAATCGAAATAATAAGTTACAATTAGTTCAAATCTACTTGGAAAACAACCTTATCTGTTATGAACGCTGGGTAGGAGGGTTGCCTTGTGTGCTCCTACAGATCGGCGCCGTTTTATTTATTTTTTTAAAGAATACTTATGTCATATAAAGAGGAGAAATGTTTCTGACAGGTTTGTGGGGCATTGAAGAAACACTGTGTTAAAGGTCACGAAGGCATGACCTTTCGATACCGGAACAAAACGGAGACATTGTATTATTTTCCTGCAGGCGAGTGAGTCATCCGCGGTGACGCAGCATGTCCTTAATGCTTACAGTCGAGATGGAAACCACTCGCATCTGTTCTCCTCGCCCTTACGGAGAGATCAAACAAACAGCCCATAGTAATCAGGAACAGTTTGGAAATGCACATATCCACCCGCGGTGCCCCCCATCAGAGTAGAAAGTGAGAAAAAAGAAGACTCGTCCCGTGTAAATGTTGTTTTAGATGGTCCGGCCACCTGTCTGAAAACCATTTTGCATTCTTTGGCGTTTTATTGTGAATACTGTATCTGGCTTGGGACAGCTCTTTCAGAGCACAACATCCCTACATAGGTTCACAGTACATATTGCATGTTAGTCAACATACAATAGGATGACTAAAAACAACAGCTCTTTTCCATTAAAGCTACAGAAAGACAGCGGATCAGTTGCAGCGACCTGAAAGCGCCGTTACAGCTGGAGTACAGGCCGGTGTTAGCACGCAGCTCCATGAACTAGTCCTTGAGACCAGTGGCAACGAATCTGGCCGCTGAAATGAGCCCGCAGCTCCGTACTGAACTTGGTCTCAGTTGCAACAGCTGCTGCCCTCTAGAGCTCACTGAGCAGGGAAATCGCCTCTTCGCATGGCTTAACTTTAAACGAATTAACAGCGTACTAAGCGGAACTTGGGGTCACATTAGAACCTTCTCGAATATAGTGGAAATATCGTCACTAAGTAATTAATTTATGCGTCCGTGGCTTATTGTTAATTTAACATTATCCTAATATTTAACTATAATTGTCTTTCAGATACACCGCAATTATCCATAATGAAGTTAATTAGTAAACGTGTTTATTAATAAAAGTGTAATTTATTTATAATGAAGTTTAATGCTGTATTACAGCAAATGTATAGAGCCGTTAGTATGCGATTGTGACTTTTCAGATGTCCCGGGAAGTGGACATAGCTGAAAGTAAATACATCTTTAAATTGGGTGTAAATTTCAGATGTGTTCTGTCTGCAATAGTATAAATGTATCTCAATACATAAAATTAAAATAGCAACGTGTTCGCTTATTAGTCTGTCGGATCTCCGTAGGAATCTTATCTCATCAATGGGAATAAAAGCGGCTATAATACAAGTTCAAACTGAAACGCGCAACTACTGTTCTCGTTTGTTTCGTTCCCTTATCTGCTATATTTTTAACATAAACGCCGTTCTTAAATTAAAAATAACATTAAATTGCCAGGGACATTCAAATATAACTATGGCCTATATGTTAATTTACTGAATAGAGTAAGTGCACGTTCTCCCCATGTTCAGGTGGGTTTCCTTGGGGTGCAACAGTTATCGCCCACAGTCCAAAGACATGCTGGTAGATTAACTGTCCTTAGTTAGAGAGTCTGTCTGTCTGCCCTGTGACAAAGTGGTCTCCTGCCCAGGGTGCACCCTGCCTCGTGCTTGTTGCTTGCTGGGAGAGGCTCCAGCTCCCCTGCGACCCTAAATTGGATGAAGTGGTAAAAAAAATGGACTGATAGAATCAACTGCATGGGTTACAGCAGTAACAATATTAACAACAGCTTGTTTTAGAGAAGCAGGGCGATTGTTAATAAACTTGCCTAGCAGCTACCCCGTTAAGCATTCATGACGAGTCTTTTCCAAGTGCTTATGTAAAACAGTGGCAGAGGAATTTTCTGTAATTAAATTTGCCAAATTCTCTTGTGGTGTGGGTAAAACGCCAGTGACAGCTTTCTGTGCATGCCTTCCCCACATGATAAGGGCATTAGTATAGTTGCTCTCTTATCTTGGGTCTGAAAATTAGAACGGAAGGCTTAGTGAAGCATAAAATGTTCTTTTTAATTAATTGAAACGGCTTTCCTGAGCCCCATGACATGCAATTCAATGTGGTTCTCTAGAGGAAGAGGAAAAAACCCCAATAGTTTCAACACAGCAGATTAGAGCTCATGTTTTGCCCCACCTAATTACATTATACTTTGGCTTATCACCACCTTCTCATGAAAAAGTTCCTCTTCTTAGCCAGGTTTGAGAAGCCCTAAGTTGCGGCTTTCATGTTTAAACAATAGAATGCCTAAAACGGAACTATGGTGGGATGTTTTTTTTAACTTTTAAAGACATCTAAGGCATTAAGGCTTATTTGTTCAGAAAGGGCTGTATTTTTTGTGTGCTCATTCTCTCAGCTGGACTAAGGTCTGTGCCACACATGCTTTATGCAGCAGCTTTGCAATCCTGTAAACTCAAATGCATGCCTCCTTAACAAAAAAGAAACCTGACAGCAATAAAAGTAAGACACTAGAGGATGCCAGTGGGTTTGACTCTCTCATTTGATCGTTAGCTGCTGAATTGAATTGAGCATCTTGCCCAGGTGCGTCTTAAATGATCTCAGGTTGATCATTTAGCTTCACCGCCATTGCCAAGTTGTTTGTTCTGAAGCAGACACCCACAACTTATCGTGTAAAGGCGTGTCTCCAATTTGCGGTTATAAATTAACTTATTTTTCTCCACGTGTCAGCAGCATTATAAGATTTATATGTTAAGCAAGGCTGGGGCCGTGTCAAGGCTATAGGAGACCTCTAAAGTGAACCAGGCTGCTCCTGTATGTGGTATTTCCACACTAGTGCTACAAATTGCCCTTTAGCTGAGATATTAAACCAATATCCTGACTACTTGGTCTTTAAAGACCCTATGGAACTATTAGAGGTTTTAACCCGGTCTCCTAAGTAAACTCCACTTTGGGCTTGTGCGATTTGGTGTCTCTCCTTTTGCCCCTTAATTGATATGATGAAGAATTTGTCACTTGTTCATGAGATCCACGTGACACTCAGGTGGATGGTGCACTTCACCACTGGATGAAGTGATTCCTCTTTCATTGTATGTGTGACCAACTTCACAAGTACAAGCAGTTATTTATTATTGTAACTTGCGTCCTTGTGGTTTCTTAATCGTGTTGACTGGATTGACATTTTCAAGATGCATACCAAGTAAAATGCAGTGCAGAGAGGGTTGTAACTTGGCTTTGTTTCAGCTGTCAGGCAGCTGTCTAAAGGAAATAAAATGTTGATTCTTTATTGCAGGTGAAACATTCTTTTCGGTTAAGCGATGTGCAAATAAAATACTTAGATGAGGACAATGAAGAGGTAAGACAAGTTTTTATATTTTTTTTAACTAAAATGCATACATTCCCAGTGATGCACAGTGTTTGAAAACCTTTAACAGCATAGACAAGATTGAGCATAAAACCTGTTTCTTAGTCCATTATGCTTAGAATATAGCACATTTCTGTATTCATTTCAGTTCAAAAGCACGTGACACATAATTTGCTTATTTATTTTTTGCAAAATTAGAGGCTATGAATATTTTAGATAACTTTGAAATAGTTTTAAATACTGTGAATGATTTATTACAATTTCCATAATTAAGTTAATTTAAAATAGGAGTTGTTCTATGTGTGGTGTGTGTGAAATGCATGAAGTGAAAATATTTGTGTGTAAAGACAAGCAGCTTAATAAAAGTAAGTTTTAACCATCTTTCTTCCTTTCTTCTGCTCTCCTGGCATTTCAGGTTTCAATTAACAGTCAGGGTAAGTCATCTGACCTAATAATGGTGCTGTTCTTTTGGAAGAACAAACTATCATGTTTGGTAGCTTGTTATTCACAAATTACCTTTCAACTGAATAATATTTTTATTTCTTAAACTTTTTTTATTAATGATTATATCTTTTTAAGATCACATAATAACTTCCTTATTATTCCTCAGAGGAGAATCCTGTGATTACTCTTCTTCTGTTTTTGTACCAGTGGTGTCACATATGTCGGTCTACATTTTGTGTTAATTCAGTGTGCTTGTTATACACTGTAATGTAAATGTATTGATTTTTCATGTAGCTCTTTTTACCTAGGCTATCATTTCCTGTTATAACAGCGTCTTGAGTTTAACAGCATCGACTTCTTTTAAAAGACAAAAGTTTGATTTAGATTTCCTATAAGACAAAGCGGTAGGCTACTGTCTTAGTCACTAAAATGTTTTTTTGTCTTTCTTACAGAGGAGTATGAAGAAGCTTTAAAGGTACCTTTTCTTATCATTGTAACCCTAGACCAATAGGTGGCACTAATGTTTCTCAACAAATATAATCTCAATTTGGAAACCTAGGAAAGCTCTCCTATAGTGTTGGGCTTTGAGAAAGCCACAGCCATGCACCGAATAGAAAGAACAAATAAATGATTTATTGTTTACAAAGAAATTGTAAGTTTTTCTCCTTGATCAGCTATGAATTAAAAAGTTGACAGACAAGTGTGAGAAGTTCAGACCAGGAGAGGTGTCCTCGTGTATTTTTGGCCGTCTGAGAGCTGGATTGACAGGGGGCCTCGGAGAGCTGTTGGAGATCATTGAAAATGCAGCTGCTGAACTGAGCTCTGTGCTGATGCTTGTGAGGATTGTTCATTACTGTTTAATCTCAGGAACCTGAGCTCTAAATTACAGTGACACCTCTTCTACCTGGTTTGTTCCAAGATAACTGTAGGCCGGGTTGATGTGCTACAAATTGGTTTATATTGTTTATAGTCTATGATTATGTTTGTATTTCAAGGACTTATGAACATAAGAATGGCGACTTTTTGTTTGTGACCTTTACCCACTGTGGCAGAGCCCAGTAGCAGGTTTGACAGTCTCAGCTGACCTGCCACTAGAAGCCATTGAGGCCGCAGTCACCTGTATACAGGTTCTCTTTGGGTGAATTAGTTAGTTAATTGGGGTGAGTGGCACATTCTCATATGGGTGTTAATTAGTGTCAACCTCTCATATAAAGGTAGGTAGGTGGTGGGTTTCTTTTGTGTGTACTGCGGACCTTAATGGAAATCAATCCTTATTTAAACTGGTTTTTTTCCTTGTCATTGTGGTTTATCCATGTGTTCAGGCCTCAAGCCACTACCTGACGAGAGGCTGGGCTGTCACACCTGTCTAACTCATTTGGTTTTTAAGTAATGCACAGGCTGGGATTGAAGCTGGGATCAATTACTTGGCAGACAGCTATGCTAGCCCACAGTATATCGCTGCTCACACAACCTATGGTCGCATACAATCCTTCTTGCGGTTTAGAGGCTGGCAATCAGTTGTTGTTACTGTGACACATTCAGCTCTTCCTATGGTGGGAATCTGGCCTTTCAAGTTGCCTCTGTTAGTTTGGGTCTTTGTTACTGTGACCCATTAAATGACTGTGCTCGTCTAAATGGAAGTACTGTGAGAGTTACACATTTTTACCCTGGCAAAGTCTTTCATCAGTTACAGAGTAGAAACTGGTGTAATTATTGAATTGATAAAGGAATGAATAGCTAAAATATTTTTCCAGATGACATTTCAAGGCAATGCATTCAAATAAATGAACCAGTAACAAAAAGGCACTGCACCCTGTTTAGATTTAATTGCCTGTAAACTTTGTTGATCTGTGGCTGATTTCCTGGTTGAGGCTGGTGTGACCTTGCTGCACATGCTATAAAAATAAAAAGTGCTTTTTTTCCACTGGGGAAATGTGAGCTCTGGCTTTAAAAATGCTTCGTCTGCAAAGCAGTCAGTGTGCGTGCAAAACAAATTACGCAGTAGCTGGAATAAAAAGCCTGAATCACCATCTGTTCTGTGAACTTTTAAGATTGATTATGTTCTTTGTAGAGGAAGAAGCATGGAAGTGATTTTGTTACCAAAGAAAGAAAATATTGGACGATTATTCAAAAGACTCTTATCTCAAGATCTCGTAACTGTTTTTAGTTCTTGAGTGTTCATTATTTCATAGAGTCATGACGGTTCAATATAGTATATGAAATTCAGTATAATTGTTTGTGAGCATTTTTTTATACCCAACTTGAATTTAACACATTAAGTCTTCATATGCTGGAAAAAAATGAAAAAATACATTTTTATTAAGCACTCTGCACTCTTGCATCCACAGAGTGCGAAGAAGCAGGGGAACCGGCTGCGCGTGAACGTGTATGAAGTGAAGGGGTCCTCTGGAACGGGGGAGCGAGAGAGGGGAGGTGGGAAGAGAGACCACGACGTGATCACGACAGGCGTCAAGCCCATGATGCACTGCTCCGCTCCGGCCAAGCCTGTCAGCCAGAATGTGCCAGCAGCCAGTCCAGTCAAGGAAACGGTAACCGAGAAAGGGCTTGTGGCTTTATTCCACTGGCAGACCTGCCTGTGCACTATCCATTGGCATGGCAGAGTATGAGGCACTGCTGTGCAGTGGGGTTAGATAAAATCAAAGTGAAAATAAGCAAGTGAAGGAATGGAGACAAAGACAAAAAGGCAGAGCAGATTTTTCACAAGTGTTTGTTGTAATCCATTGCAACAGAGGTGGACTTGATTGGAAGTTGCTTTAAGCTTCTGAGAGCTGGGTTACCTTTGCATTATAATCATACTCCAAAGTACAATGTCAAACCTTTTGGTATTATTGCAACAGAAATAAGAGGTGTTCACATCAAGTAATTAATCTTCAGCGTGTATATTTTTGGGTTGCACAATGATTAACATTGCTGACTCACAGTGCCGGGGCCCTGGATTCAGTTAAAGACCTGCGGTGCCGTCTGTGTGTAGTCTGTAAGTTTCCCCTGTGTTTGTGTAGCTTTCCTCCCACAATCCAAAGACATGCTTGTGGGTTCATTGGCTTCTGGGAAAATTGGCCTTGGTTGAGTGTGTGCCTGTCTTTGGTTGTGTCTGTGTGTGCCCTCCAGTGGACTGGCATCCTGTCCAGGGTGTATCCTGCCTTTGCTTGCTGGGACAGACTCTTTCTCCCCTGCGAACCTAAAGTGGAAGAAGCAGTTAGAAAATGGATGGATGGGTGTTTTTCTTACAGTAGGAAGTGAATACTTCTTTCTTTGTCTGCAGTTGGTGATAAAGGAAGTCAAGGTGAACCGAGAGAATGATCAGGCTCCTCCAGCATGGTTTACATCTTACATGGAAAAGGTATGCATGTGAGCAATCCATGCATGTTTATATGGCTAATAATCCATGTAGGTTGTATTGTGTTGGCTAAGGCTGCCTTTGCACTAGTTCATGTAATTGATTATAAGGTAATTTTTGCATTATCGAATATGCAGATGGGGCCTCAACTGAAATTTATATTATAATCAGTTTTTATGACAATATGTGCAACAGGTGCCATCACACCTAAGTGAACAGAAAAAACGCATGTAAATTAATTGTTCTGATTGACATTTGTCATCAGCAGGATTGATCCAGGATTGTACTCCCTAGTCTTTAGCTGCATTGTTGGTCACATCAGATTAGGCATATTCAGATAGTTTCTCGGTTGAGAAGCCTTGCTCTGGATTGGCATAGATTCATCCCAACACCCAGACCCAGATGTGACTCAAGGAATCGCAAAGCAGCGTTTTTAACCACTGGGCCAGTGTGCAAATAATAAAACATCTACCTGCTGAAAACTGGAAAAATCCTTTGTAATTCAACAAAATGGGACATCATTGGCAGGGAGTGAATGCTTCTGCAAGGCACTGTAAATGCCCCACTGAATTCCTGCCTTGTCTGTAGTTCAAGGATCAGCTGGTAAAGGAAGCCGTGGAGCGGATTTGCCAGGATTTCTCCGAGAGGTTCTGCATTCAGAAGGTATCGCAGCCATCGTCCGAGGAGCCAGGCAGTGTGGCTGCCCAGGTCCAAGAAGTCAGCTCCACAGCTGCAGACAGACCCAAGCTCCCTGCCTGCCAGAGCTGCCAGGCCCAGACACAGCGGGGCAGCTACCTTTGCAGGTCAGGGCTCTCTCTCTCTTGCAGACCTCTTGCTTGCTTCTGTGGCCCAGAGGCCACCTGGTGGCTTGCAGCACAGTTTTGTAGAAATTTGTCATGTGGCAGTATTCCACCCACAGGCCATTGTTGTAAAGGTGCGTTTTCAACTGCTTAAGATGCATTAATCCATTATAAACAGAAGTTGTATATGATGTTAATGTGATGATACGTTTCACAGTTATGCAAACCACAGGGTTAAATGTGACGCCGTTCAGTTGTGCACTGTTTTACCCATTTTAATGTGTACTTATTATTTAAAATGACATGTCTAGATAAACAGCAGGGCTTCAATGTGCTGATTAAAACAATGTGTTTTCATGTTCAAATTCTATTTGTGCTGTTAAGTGTTATCAGATTTGTACTGTAGTTGGCCAAGCAGTTGATAAGCTACTTTATACTTTTTGATACATTAATTTGAGTGTTTCTGTTATTGAATACTGTTGCAACTATTCCAAAAAATATATAAGCCAATATCCTAAATTAAGCAGGTTTAGTCAAAACAACCCCAAATGTTTTAATAAAGAAGAGAGTTGAGTAGTTTGTTGTCAGAAACCACAGGATATTGCATTCTTACAATTAACTAAAATCTCTATCATACCAGCACAGAAAATAACTCTAAAGTCCATGCTGGCATTTTCATGGATCAGAATTCCCTATTGCTATTTTTTCAACAGCCTATGTTGCGGCTGCTTTTGCCGGGTCTCAAGAGGAAAAACATTTGGCATAGGTCTTCCTCACTGCTGCTACCTGAGCTTTGAGCTACCGTTAGTGGGGAAAAAAGCAGTTGCTCTACATGAGCAACTAAACAGAATTCCCCTGTCTCTCCACTGCCTTTCTTTTTTGATGGGGAAACCAGCCCTTTTGATTTGCATGTGATAGCTTGGAAACCAAAAGTACCATTTTATTTGTGATGCTTACTTAGACATTCTTCATTGAGCTGCATGATTGTTTTATTTCCTAACAGTGTGTGCCCATCCTATACTCTGTGTGAGCAGTGCAGCTATGGGCATGACCCCACCCATTCCTTAGTAAAAATCAGGACACTTGTCCCTCCACTGTTTGATTGTGGGACATCGGTCACAGGGGAAAGTGGAAGGTAAGAAGTACTTTCATGTGGATGAGTTTGCCAAGAATTGCAGTCCTATTATCTAAATGAATAGAAGGGGGTTGGAAAAATGAATTATTGCCAGACTTGAAGTTAATGAGGGTTAACTAAATGTAACCAGAATCTATAAGATAACTTGGGAAAGTTTTCCCATTATTGTTTGACCTTAGTGTTGAAGTGTTTGTTTTGCTTTAAGTAACATTTCTCAACATGAAACAAAGCACAGCAATATCCAAAGCAAAACTGAACTAAGGCGACGAATCTGGGATTTAATGGCCAGTGTCAGTATGCAAAACCTAAGAGTCTGGCCTAAGCGGATTTCAAAATGGGCTGGCTAAGAACATGAAAACAGCTCCAAGTGAAAACTGATCATTGCATTGCATTTTTTATGCCGGTGTTTTAAATACCAGATATCAACATATGAAAAATCTTACGCATGCAGAACATGGGGAAAAAGTGGGAAAATTGAACAATATTAAAATAAAATGGACTGAAATGTAAGACTGCAGCTCATGTGGTATCAGTTGTTTGTGATCCAATCTGTGACCTTTAGCTTTGTTTGCACTTAGTGCACTTAGTGCTGATTGCCAGCAAAGCCTCATAGCAACCCCTGGGCAGTGAACTTGCTCATCCTCTGAATCTGCCGCTGGGTTATTGTTTACATGCACCCGGACGCTGTGTTTGTTTCAGGTTGCAGAAGCGGATCGACAAGAGCTTCAGGAAGGCTGAAAAGCAGAGGCTGAAGGCGGAGAAGAGGCAGCTGAAGGCCGAAGTGCGCGAGATCAAGAAGCAGCTGCGCATGGAGAGGCGGAGCGCGCAGTGGAGCGCCGCCGGCGAGGGGGCCGCGGACCCCGTGCTGCTGCAGCCGAGAGGGACAGTGGCCAGCGGCGCCCAGTGAGGATCCGTGTGCTCGTGTGTCGGAAATGACGCTCAGGGGCTCGGGCTGACCTGATAGGCCTTTCCTCCCGTTTACTTCTGTGGTAATGGGGATCTGGCCTGGAAACCACTTTTAAAGGGGTCTTTGTGTTTGCGAGGAAAGAAATGCAGAGTGACATGTGACACAGCTGCTTTGACAGCTGCCAGCAAATACAAGCAGAAGGCATGCAGGTCTCCAGTCAGAAATGTGCTCTGAAGCACAATCCGTTCACAAGAAATGCAGTATTTTTCTATCCGAAGCAGTCCCTTCTGGTGCCTATAACCAAACAACTTTCCCGCTTTCCTGTGCGTTCTTTTGCATTAGTTTAGTGTGATTAATTTTATATGTAAGACCTGGATCGAAGTAGGCGGCATTAAACTAGAAATGGTCCCGTCTTGTTTGAATAGGAGTCCAAAGCAGTCCTGTGCCCCCATGGTGCCCACCATGACAGCTGTGTTCCTGGATGAGAACCTGCCTGATGGGACACGCCTCCAGCCCGGTACCAAGTTCATCAAGTACTGGAGGATGAAGAACACTGGCACTGTCAGCTGGACTGTGGAAACCAAGGTGCTCGGGCAGATCGCTTTACCTGGCTTTACCTGATGAGGAGATAACTCCTTCTGGCTTGTCGTTTCTTTAATGGATAGTCCAGTTGTTTCTTTCTGGATCATTTATTACGTGCCCCCTAATTTTCACATTTCATGTTAAGTTGTAGCTGCTGTAAAAATCCTGAGGATGTTGTATTCCTTACTTTCTCTTTCCAGTACCCTATGGGTACTTGCATGAGGAAAGCTGTCGTCCCCGAGTTGCTCCCTGACTCATTGCTGGGGTCACCATGCCAGATCAGGATGCGTGTTTGTGACGCGGAGCCCTTACCGGGGTTCAGCTAAGTAAGTGTGCGAAATGCTGCTTTGTTTTCTGCAGCTGAAGTTCATGTGGGGGAACCTGGATCTGGCCACAGGGGAGAAGAAGGAGGTGGTGGTGCCGTTTCTGCAACCGGGCCAGGTGGGCGTGGTGTGTGTGGAGTTCGTGGCTCCGGGCCAGGAGGGCACCTACACCTCGCACTGGCGCTTGGCCCACCGGGGGGAGCAGTTCGGGCCCAGGGTGTGGTGCAGCATTGTGGTGGACCCCCTCACCGCCGAGTACTGTGCTGAAGGACAAGACCCAGCACTTTGTAGCAAGCCAGAGGCAAGTTTCCTCTTGGACATCTTCGTCCATATGATACTTAACTCTGAAATGTGCCCGTGCGTGGCACTGTACCA